TGCAAACATGCAACAAAACTATCAAATAATCTGAGCTGTGAAAATTGTAAAAAAAATGTACCATGAAAGGTGTAGCCCCATCAATTTTTGTGAGGGTGCGGTTGTGCCTCACAATGGGGGCAAAACCGTTTTTTTCACTAAGTGTAATTTTTGTGTAATAACATTTTCAAAACCCGTTCAATTTTTTTCTTAATGCATCAATTTAAAGATTAATGATGTGGTTATTGAAATAAACTGTTAAAAAAACACATTTCGTTTTTATTTTCAAATAACATTAATCCAAACGTTACGGGGGCGGTTATGCCCCCACTTCCCCTATATATATATATATATATATATATATATATATATATATATATATATATTATATATATATATATATATATATATATATATATATATATATATATATATATATATATATATATATATATATATATATATATATATATATACATATATATATATATATATATATATATATATATATATATATATATATATATATATATATATATATATATATATATATATATATATATATATATATATATATATATATATATATATATATATATATATATATATATATATATATATATAGTTGCACATTGTTTCATGGATCTATTTAAACCAAAATTAATACAAAAGTTGCTTTGGATATTTGGTTTATAAATTAAAATAACACCAACGAGAAGGTAAGCCATAGGACTTTGCACTCTATTTCTAAAATGATTGACATTTTAACTATAATGATCATTATAATTACAATGCAATACCATTATATAATAATCATGTAAAATAATATAAAATATGACTTGCCATGAAAATGATGTACTCACTTGTAAATTCTATATCTTCTGGAGAAAAGTGTTTCTCACAAAAATAAACATTTCCTTTGGTTATTCTTTCTTTTAATAATCCATCTAATGGATGGTAAATAGCAAGAAAATCAATTAACCTTTTCCTCCAAATGGTATGATATTCATCTTTTCTTGTAGATATTTGAAATAGTCCAATATCCTTGTGTTTATTTGTATCTGAGACTGTGCACTGTGGAAGACAGTAATTTCTACCTGGCATTGCTAAGCAGTGATTGCTTTTTTTTTGCAAGTACGATTACTTTAGTTCTTATGTAGTTCTAAAAAGGACTGTTTAATTAAAATTTAAGTGAAAATTTGAAATGTCTTTTAACATTCACTAACTGGAATTGCTTAAAATATTTTAGTTATATGTAGTTCTAAAAAGGACTGTTTAAATAAATTATAATTGAAGTTTCTTTGATATATCTTTTAAAATTCACTTCGACGGCTGATTTGTTTTGCAACTACATTGAGCACGTGACCGAAAAAAAATAAAACAATAGCTTCCAGACCAGGGTATATTTATATATGACTATGGAAAATGACTATAGACTATGGAAAATGGGCGGTCTCATCGTTTAATAATATAAAGTGCTGGCTATTAACCCATGCATTTAAAAAATATATGCAAGTCCATCGTACCACAAGGCTACTAGGGACTTGCTTGTGGACGTTGTTGAATATATATATATAAAATTATTCTTAAAAATATTTTACTTTGTTGTAAGGAAACTCGCAGAAGACTAAAATAGTCTTTTCATCGAGAACCTTTAAAACATAAAATAAATTTTAATAAACTAGTTCAACAAATACACGTAAGTATTTTGGTATCTACTATATAGTAGAAGTAGTAGGGCTTTTTATTATTACTATTTTTTACAAATTGTTTAATACATTTCGATGAAGTTGGTTAAGTTAATTATGATATGTTTTAGTTTTTTTTTCAGAGCAATGAGGTTATCCATTTTATTAAGTTCAATATTTTGAAGTATTATTTTGTTATGTAAGTATGGGCCACGGTATATTAAAGAAAATCGCGAGAATTTTGTTTTTTTTAAAGGCAGGGTAAAATTGCCTGTTCCTCGTGTGATATATTTGTTTGCGTCAATATGAAAAAAGCTATCAGTAAAGTATTTCGGAACAAGTCCGAGTTTGTATTTTAGCATGAATAAGGTATTTTGGTAAATATTTATTTGATAGATATTTAATGCATTCAAATTTTTAAGTAAAGGGTCGGCATGAGGGAATTTATCTTTATTATAAATTAATCTCGATGCATGTTTCTGATGTATGTAGAGTGAATTTAATTTAGTTTTATGGGTACTTCCCATGCAATATTAGCGTATGTTAGGTAACTTTGAATATAAGAAAAGAAGAGAATTTTTAAGTTGTCTTGGGAAAGCATAGTTTTGGCTTTGTAGAGTACGCCGATAATTTTTGATATTTTTGTGTTTATTGTATTAATATGGGCTTTCCAATTAATATTCTGGTCAATAATTATTCCAAGAAACTTAGTTATTTCAGTTCTTTTGATGTTTATGTTATCAATTTTTAGTGAAGGTAGAGTGTCTGGTATAAAGTTTTTAAGACGGTTGGAGTGAAACAAGATATATTTTGTTTTTTCTGTATTCAAAGATAATTTATTAACTTTAAACCAGATGTTAAGGTTTTCGAGGTCAGTGTTCATAGATTCGTAAGGGTTGCTTATAGACGGCGATGAGTAAAATAAATTTGTATCATCAGCGAACATTATTACATCAAGTTTTTTTAGGGCTTTTGGAAGATCGTTGATATATATCAGAAATAAAAGGGGACCCAGAATGGAACCTTGGGGAACTCCGCATTTTATTTCTAGTAGGTCTGAATGTTTATTATGATCTGTAACAACGCATTGTTTTCTGCTACTCAGGTAACTTTTGAACCAGTCAAGGGATATATTTTTAACACCATATCTTTCCATTTTTTTAAGTAAGATATTGTGATTAACTGTGTCGAAAGCTTTAGATAAATCTATAAAAGTCCCTAATACAAATTGCTTTTTATCGAAAGAATTACTCCTGCTATTTACAAAATCTAAAATGGCACTTTCGGTTGAGTGTTTTGTTTGAAACCCGAATTGTTTTTTGTTTAAGAGGTTATTTTGAAGGAGATATTCGTATAATCTATTGTAAACTATTCTTTCAAGTATTTTAGAGAAAGTAGGCAGTATAGAGATCGGTCTGTAATTATTTAATAAAGATGTTTCGCCTGTTTTAAAAATTGGTATAATTTTAGCTGTTTTCAATTTATCTGGTACAGTACCTGCTTTAATTGATGATTTAAATATTTCGAAGATTGGTTTGCGTATCTCCAAAAAGACATCGATAACGATATTGCTACAAATATCATCTATACTTGGAGATTTATTTATTTTAAGAGATTTTATCGCAACTTCAAGTTCTTTAATTTTTAGTTCGCTAAATGCTAACTCGTCATTGTTATTAGTTAAGTATGTCTCAAATGAGTTGTTTGGACAATTAATTTTTGTAGCCAGGTTAGGGCCTATGTTAACGAAAAAATTGTTAAACTTTTCTGAGATTACGTCACTACTGACATACTCTTCATTATTTATAACAACTTTAGTAGGTAAACTATTTGGTTTGCAATTTTTGTTCCCAATTATTTTTTTAATTACGTTCCACGTTTTTTTAATATCACCTTTGGAGTTTTTTATTTTATTTGAGTAATAATTCTTTTTTGAAATCCTTTTGATTGTTTCAAACAAATTTTTATATTGTTTGTAAGCATTTAGGTTTGCTTCATTTCTATTTTTTAAGTATTTGATATAAAGTTTTTGTTTTTTTTTTGAAGATTTTTTAATTCCTTTGGTGATCCACGGGCATTTTAGATGTTTTTCTTATACTAGCATTACTTTTATTGGGAAATATTTATTATAATTTTTTAAGAAAATGTTTTCAAAATTAGTGTAAGCAGAGTTGGTGCGTCCAAGGTTACATTCTTGGTATACTTTATCCCAGTTTATTGCCGATAGTGATTCTTTAAATTGTTGAATAGCATATTTGTTAATTTTCCTTTTTTTTAAGTATTTCTTAACTTCCGTGAACCACCGTAAAATATTGTCCTGTGTCACTGATGCACGAAAAACTGTAAAGTTTTGGCTTATATGTTTAGATATATTTTCATTTCTTTTTAGAAATGAAAATATATCTACGTAATGAATCTTAGAAAATAAAAAAATTAAAAAATTGATTTAGAAGTTGACACATTATTGTTCTAGTACTTAACCACCTGGTCATTTTTTAACCTATTATGTTAAGAATATAAAAACAAGTTTAGTTTGCTACAAAAACATGAAAAATGCACGTTACTATAAGTTAAGATTAACAATGGAATAACTGTGTAGTATACCCTCCATGGTCAATTACTAAACTATTTAAATTTTCTGATCCAATATATGACCATCCTCGTAACTGATTACAGATGGCAGTAAACAGATAATAAATAACTTTTGTTTAGTAAATAAATAGTACTTGCCTTTTAAAATTAACTTAATTTGTGGCTTCTCCTTAGCAAATTGCGGAAATAAAATTGACAAGAGCATAACGCATTAACATTGGTTGTAAGCCATTTTTGTTCAAAGCTGTTAAATGTTTGCCGTGTTTACATATGTACAACCAAATAATAAGAGAGTATTTTCCGGCTTTTTTTAAAATCGTTCTACCATAGTAGGGCTTATTTCAACAATTTTTCTATTAAATGGTCAACTACTGGCACATGGTCAATTACTGGTACCGTTACGTTTTTGTACTGTTTTGTAAATTAGTAAAAAATTAAAAATTTTGCTAAGGCTAATGCTCAAGAAGTTTTTTAGCAAAAAAGCTTTGTTTTCAAATAAAAATGAATTATTTGGATCAGAAAATTGACTCAATACGAAAATTAGATTTAAGTTAAGTTTAAAAAGACTTTCATGGATTTAATCTAGTTTTGTAACTTGATAATTCTGTTTTTTATTTCTATTGAACATCTAATCTGGGTTTCATTTATTTTTAAAAAGTCTTTAATTGTAGTTCTTTTAAGCCACCAAATATTTAGTTTATAAAGCAAAACGACTTTATTTGTAAAAAACCACTAACCATAAACCAGCAAACACATTAAAATCTTAAATAAAAAAACTACAATAACTCTTTTAATCAGTAATGCAAAAGATTTTTGTTTTGCACATTACTATTCAGTTTAAGTTCGTGTACATACTATAATATTATAAATAGTTAGCTTAATTTTTATTTTTATTTCATAGACATTAACTTTATTTATCGGTATGATAATGTTTATCAGCTTCAGAGTAATAAAGTTTTTTCAGAGCAGATGGACAATTACTTTTTAACTATTGCACAACACTAAATCTTCTCAGTGTTTTGTTCTGCAAATTAACATGACAGTTACCTGTGTATGGTGTTTCTGTAAACGAGCTTTCTGCGAATGTTTGCCCTATCCCTGTTAGTTATCTTTTTTGGTTGGTATTGCACAATATCAAGGTGGATTACTTGTTTGTTTTCGTGGTTTAATTTATTTAGTTCCACAGAGCATCTTGGGTGATGGTTAGTTGAATCGCTGCAAGTAGTTTCATCTGTGGTTGTAAACGAGCGATGATTTTTTATCAAATTACAAACGCTGCTCTGATCAAATGTTGTGAAAGAGCGATTTCTAATTGGTCTCGTATTTATTTGATTGTCAAATTTGATTACCGATCTTTCGTCTAAAATTTCAAAGTTGTAAGGTTCTTCTAAGTTTGCATGACTTGTTTTTAATTTCGTAAACTTCATTTGGTTATTTCTGTTTGGAACAATAATTTCAACTTTACAGCTATCTTCATTCTCTATTTTACTACTTTCAATTTCATTATGCTCGTTTTTGCTATGTTTCTTATGACTTTTTTCTTTATGACTACTTTCGCTTTTAGCGTTTATACTAATTATATATTCATCGTCAACAAGTTCATCGTTACTCGGTTTATTGTTAGTAAGTTGAAATGAGGTTTCTTCATATTCTTCGTTAAACTTACAGGTTTGAGTGCAGTTATCGATAACCTTATTCTCAGACGAAGCTGTATTACCCGATTTGGCTGTTTCTGAAAAATTTAAAAAATTATAGGAGTTGTTTGTATGAGCTAAGTTTTGTGCATTATTTTCTTCATTTGTTGTGGTCACACTTTGAAGCTTTTTATATACAGAATTAAAAAGATCACCTAGAATAAAAATAAAATTTATTTTACGTTGACCTGTAAATTCATTTTATATAAAAAAAAAACTTCTCTATAAATTTCTCTTTATAACAAATTTAATTAGGCACGTAAAAAATTAATATAAATTGCTTTGAATAGACATTTTAAAATTTTATAGAATAAACATTTAAACATTTTTTTTATTTAATAACATGAAAGATAAGCTTAGTTTAACATTGCAGGGATTCTTAATATTATGCTGGGTGAGTGATTTAAATCGGAATAAACATACTTTAGCTTTTTATCTGGTTTACAAAACGGTTAAATTATTGAATTCATGAAAATCATGGAAAGTCTCGTGCAATCAAGGAATCTGTCTAAAGAAACTGTTCTTTGAAAGTTATGACCTCAGTAAACCGTGCACTTATAACTTGTCACATCACAAACAATTTTTATCACCAGATCTTTGCAGGTACATTTCCATTGTATAATGTTTGTTAAGAGTATTGCATTTTGATGGTGGGTACATACGCAACTTCTTTATCGAAATCCTTCATTTTCTACTAAAAACCTAACCTAATGGAACTAGTCTTGTTAGAGCAACATCATTTAATGTCAAAAATTGTGCCCTTGATTAATATGGAACATTTGCAAATTTGGTGTGTTTTCATTATTAAAGAAGTAAAATTGAAGTTACCAATGGAAGAAAAAATGTTTCTGCATTAATCTCTAAAGAAAGAGGAACAAATGGTAAATGGATAACTGCTTTTTATGCTTTTTGAAGTTTTTGTATTTCCTTGCAAAATTTACAAAGATTATTTTATTAACAATGGTCCTTCCGTATATATTTGGTGCAGATGAAAATGGCTGCGTCAAAGATATTTAAGTTTAATAATTTTTGAAACATTTTGTTAAACATGCAAAACCTTTAAATAAATATAAAACTTTTTTTTGGGATAACCACTCTTCTTTTAATTCTCGTTTTCTTCCCAACCAAATTCTAGCCATAAGCTTCAGTCACTAAAATTTTAGTAATTAAATAAAAGGTTTTTAACAAATGCACAAGATGAAAGGTTGAGGAACAACCATGGAACGGCTACAAAAAATTGTGATACATCTCAGGTTCATTGGCACTTGCTATGATATACTAACATTAGAAATGCTTTTTAACAAACAAGTATTAAAAAATATATGTATATGTGTATATATATATATATATATATATATATTCATATATATATATATATATATATATATATATATATATATATATATATATATATATATATATATATATACATATATATATATATATATATATATATATATATATATATATATATATATATATATATATACATATATATACATATATATATATATATATATATATATATATATATATATATATATATATATATATATATATATATTTATTTATTTTTATTTCTTTTTTAACATCTTCGCTTCCAACAAGGCTGCAAGCAACCACTAATTAGTGTTGGAAGTTACTGGAAGAGAAAAGATGAAGATTGTAGAGCAAGATAACGATTGACAGACGACTTAAAAGATTGCAAATTTTATGAATCAGGAAAGCAAGATGAAGGAAGCGAATTCCAAAGAACTGATGTTCGAGGAAAAAAGCTAGACGAATAAGAGTTTTTGGAGCACTTAGGAACAGTAACAGAAAAAGGATGAGACTTAACTGACTGACGAGTAACACGAGAATGAATTTTTGTAGATGGCACAAGAGACGCTAGCTCTTTAGAGCAGTGCCCATTATAGTATTTGTAGAAAAGAGAAAAAGAAGCAACATTACGACGATGTGACAGAGGTTGAAGGTTGGCTGCAAGAGCAGGTCCAACTATGTTTACAATGCGTTTTTGCACCTTGCCTAAAAGAGAAAGGATATCATTAGAAGATCCACCCCAGATATGGCAACAGTATTCCATACAAGAACGGATTTGAGATTTATAGAGATAGAGAATAGAATCCAGAGTAAGAAAGTGACGAGCTCGATAAAGAGAAGCAACTTTAGCAGATGCTAATTTTGCAACGGATTTGATATAAGGTTTCCAAGAAAAATCACAAGTGAGAGTTAATCCTAGAAGATGAAGGGTAGGAGACTCATCGAGTACATTACCGTTCATAAATATAGGAAGGTCTAAATTATTGCGATAACGATTGGCTGAAAAAAATTGAGTTTTATCTGAATTAAAGTTCACCAGCCACTGTGAGCCCCATGCTGTAGCAGAAGTGAGATCCTTTTCAAGCTCAGATGCCCCCTGCAAGCAATCAGAGGGAGTTGGCTTCTTATTGTGACAAGAATAAATGGTAGTATCATCAGCGAACAATGCCACCTTAGATGTGAGAAAATCTGGAAGATCGTTAATGTAAATTAAATAGAGTATAGGGCCAAGGATTGAACCTTGAGGAACTTCTGAGGTTACATAATAAGAAAAAGAGTGCTGTCCATCAAGGACAACTTTTATACTACGATTGGAAAGGAAGGATTCGATAATCTTAAAGATGTTTCCAGATACACCGTAAGAAGAAAGCTTATGGAGAAGACCACCATGCCAAACTTTATCAAACGCTTTAGAAATGTCAAAAGCAATGGCCTTAACCTCTCCACCTTTATCTAATGCGCGATTAAACCTATCGGTTATTACTGTTAGCAAATCAGCCGTAGAACGAGAAGATCGAAATCCATATTGATGATCAAAAAGTAGGTTATGAGATTCGAGATGAGAAATTAAGTGTTTGTTAATTAAAGATTCAAAAACCTTGCTTATGATATGACGGTAGTTAGACGAATCAGATCGCTCTCCAGAATTTTTAAAAATAGGATTAACAGATGCTGCTTTCCAGCAGGCTGGAAAACAAGACTCTGATAAGCACTTATTAAATAGTTTTGAAAGGATAGACGACAGCTCCGGAGAACACTTCTGCAAGACTATAACAGGTATGTTGTCCGGGCCGCAAGCTGTAGAAGAGTCTAAGCAGGAAATCACTTTAGATACAGAAGCTGGAGTGATACGGATGTCAAGCAGTAGATCTACCTGTTTGACGGCTATATCAGGTAGAACGCAACTAGTAGAATCCAGGGATGATATTGATGAAAAGTTTTTTACAAACAATTCAGTTTTGTCTTTGGTGAGGTGACAAAGTCTGAACCGTACAAAAGAGATGGAATTACAGACTTGCCAGAAGTCACGAGAGTCTAATTTTTGGTGATGAAATACAAGATTCCATGATCTGAGAATAGCGGGCTTTAGCATTGACAAAACCTTTTTATATTGGTTCCTAGCAGTAATAAACAGACGTCTATTTTCTGGAGAATTGTTTTGCTGATAGATATGGAAGTAATGGTTTCGATTGGCAATTGCAGCAGCGCAATGTGAGGAAAACCATGGAGAAGAGTGAGGCTTGACCTGGAATCGTCGAGAGGAAATAAAGGATTCCATGCCAGCCTGAGTCCACGAAGTTATGTAAGAAGCACATTTGTCAACAGGGAGATGAAAAATTTCTACCCAGGGGCCATCACGAAGAAAATCACGGAAAGAGTCCCAGTCAGCTTTAAGGTAGTTGTGAGATGTACAATGATAGGGGGGTTCTGATGGTAAAGAAGAATGAGATAATAGTTTTAGAGAGACCAAACCATGATCAGAAGCACCTAAGGGTGAGTGTGGTGAAACTGAGCACTGACTAGGATTAGAAACAAGACATAAGTCGAGTAGAGAAGGTAAATGATTTGGGTTGTCTAAGAAGCGAGTTGGAAAGTTGAGTATTTGAGTTAGGGATTGAGAAAGACAAAAGTTGTGGGCCTTAATGCCTGCGGATTCACTGACACTAGAGCTAAGCCATTCAGTGTGATGAACATTAAAGTCACCAACAACAATAATATTGGCTGATGGATAAAGAATGAGGGCTTGGTCAATATAATCAGAAATAACATCAAGAAGAGTGCAGTCTTGAGATGAAGGAGAGCGATATAGAACAAAGGGAAAGGTGATAGAGTGAAGTAGTGCTTAACGAAAGCACATAAAAGAGTAGTCTTTGGATTCAAACCTAGTAGTCTGTGGATTCAAACCTAGTTTCCCGACAAATGGGTGAATTCTTACGAATGTAAATGCCTAGGCCAAGCATGGACTATTGGAGTCTTTACGAATTAAAGGAAGATAACCATCAACACTAAGATCACAAGATGAGACAGCTGAACTCAAATTAGTCTCACAAAGAGCAAGTAGGTCTGGTGAACTTCGAAGAAAGTTACTTCGAAGACCACGAATATTGGTGAATGATAGATTTAGCGAACTTGGTGATGACTGTGGTTTTTTGTGTTTTATAGTTTTTGTTACTTTATTCATTTTAAATTTGTTAAAGAACTTGACTCGAAATATAGTACTCAGTACACTGTTTTATAGCCCAAGCAATTTCCTCATTTCCACTAATAAACCCTAAGCCGTAAAAAAGAACTCCTATGTGACCTTGGCAATGCACACCAAAAGTACAAACAGAGACACCATCCATGCGCAAAATGGCACTGTTAGGAGTCTGATATTTTTCAGCTGTTGATGGAATCAGCCTCTCTGAGAGCTACCACAGAGTTCGGGAAACTTGACTACCAGCCGGCCTCAGAACCATAAAACTGAGTTTATGGCTGTACCCTCATTTGGAGATAGTAGAATGAGTTGCCTAGTCATAAAAACAGAGACACAAGCAAAACCCATGCATCAAGTCAAGAAGATCCAGCGTTTAACATCCTAAACTGGAAACAATATATTAAAAATACATTTGCGCCAGCCTAATAGATGGAGAAGGGGTGCGAGGCTGGTCAACAGCAGAAAAAAAAAGTATTTTAATTTAGTAATGCAACTTTTGAAGATTGAAATTGGTATTGTTCTTTGACGTCTTCACTAGAATAATTTTTTTAACACTTACTGCAATTGACTAAAACTCACACCCACTATGTGATTTTCACACCCACTTTGTGGTTTTCACACCCACTATGTGGTTTTCATACCCACTATGTGGTTTTCATACCCACTATGTGGTTTTCATACCTAATATGTGGTTTTCATACCCACTATGTGGTTTTCATACGAAGATTTTCTTTTTCTTTTTTTTTTTTTTGCCATATAAATTTATTCATAATATAAAACATATGTAAATACAAATAGCAGGCAAGAAGATGACATTTGTTTTATCGCCAAGCCCCTTAATCTATACCGTAATACGCAATAATAAAATATAAAAATTGTAAAACTACAGCACTACAGCATATTAAATATTGTTATATAAACTTTTTATATTTATAAGAAACAAACAACAAACAAACAAAAAGGTAAAACTCATAGGTCCTGAATGCCCTTCTCTAACTCTAAAAATCTACTTTTTTTCTTATTTTAATATAACAAAAGGACAAAAATTAAATACCAAAGTAAAAATACTATAGTATAGCAAAAAATTATATACTTAAAAAGTATGCACGCAAATACTCATAATCCTTAAACTTTCCTTTTAAACCAGTCTACACCTTTACATATACATTAGAAGAAACCATGCGCTACGTTGCTCATCAACAGTGTTTGCTTCAATTTGGTCTTAAACTCATTAAGCGTTATAATTGTTTTAAGATTATTAGTTAATATTTGATACTTTTTGTCCTCTAGTAGAAATTGAAAATTTCTACTAGAGGACACAAAATAATTTGTTGGCTGATGGTAGCTGTTATACGAGTATCTGGTAAAGTATCTGTTCTGATTTATTTTGAATAGGGGGTTAAATATTTTAAGAGATAAATTTTTATTAATTTTGAACATAAATATAAGAAGATGATAGATGTTTATTTGGTAGATATCCATTATAATTAGCTTAATAAACAATGCTTATAAATGTGTAAAACGTCCCACATTGGATATGATTCTGATTGCATGTTTTTGTTACTTAAAAATTTTTTTAATTTTATTTTTCCTTGTACTGCACCGAGCAATGTTTGCATAATTTAGATGACAATGAATGAAAGAGAAATATAAAAATTTTAAGCAATTTAAAAATTAAAAAAAAATTTTGCTCTACAAATCAGACCGATGTTCTTCGAGATTTTACTTTCGAGATAATATATGTGATCTCTCCACGTCACATTTTCATCAAGCAGAACACCGAGAAATTTCAAAGTGATTTCTCTTTTTACGTCTTGATTGTCAATACAGAGTTTTGGAAGTTTTAAAGAAATATTATATCGATCATGAAAACGACGGAAAAAAGTATATTTCGTCTTGGTTATATTTAGTGATAATTTATTTGCACTGAACCATTCAGTAAGATTTATTAGCTCTTTGTATACAGATTTGAACATCTTTGGTCACAGATTTGAATGAATGTTTATATCATTATGTGCATAAAATACATTTGTATCATCTGCAAAAATAAAATTGTATCTAGTTCACTGCATGCTTTACTTATTTTTCACCATAGTTTTCTAATTTTAAAAAAAAAAAAAAATACTGTGATAAATGATTTCGACTGTGTCGAAAGCCTTACTGAGATCAATAAATACACCTAATGTATATTTATTTTCATTAAACGATTTAAATATATTTTGAACAAGATAAACAATTGCCTGATCAGTAGAGTGAATCTTTTTAAATCCAAATTGCTTAATATAAAGAATATTGTCTGCAGCTAAAAAGTAACACAATCTTTTATACATAATGTACTCTAGTAATTTTGAAAAAGCATGGTACTGATTATGATACCGTTCTTGCAGAATTGAGGTATGCAGCCTATTTTTGATCAGTTTTTAATTATAGAAAACAATCTTTCCGTAGAGTAGTTTGTTATCATCAGTACAAGGGAACTCATCCTGCACACCTTTCTGATGTATAAGTGAGTATATACAATTTTCCATGCTTGTGTCCTTTTTTTCTTCAACCATGAAAAAGGCTAACATCCTAAGGCTAACAGCCTTAGGATGTTAGCCTTACATTTAGAGTTCTTAAACGAGTTATCAAATATTTTTAAGTGCCAGCTTTCTCTACTCTCTTTCGCTCTTTTTCTTCAAAACATTAACATTTTGACATAACAAATTCTTCCAGCGACTTAATGCTGGACAAATTGTTATTTAAGTGTAGCTTTTAATTTTAAAGTGCCTTTTCAATTTTATCTGCTTTTTTGAAGATGTCATTCTAAAATATTAAATATATTCTAGCAGCACGCGTGCATACAGATCCTAAGCTTTGCAGCGTACTTCAGCCAGATTATTTTTGTCATTAAAAGGTTTGTCAAGCACATTTCCGTTTTGTAAATAGCCATTCGCAAAAGCCTAATTAGAATCTACTCTACAAAACTAGCGCGTTGCACTGATTTTTTTAAGTAGACATGCACAGTTACTGCCTTCTCCTTTAAAAATTTGAACAACATCTCATAGAGACGTGGTAAAACAAACATTTTTCCAGCTCTTCAATAATATTAAAAAAACTTACAACACTTTCAGAGAATGTCCAACAATAGGTATCCAAACTGCTAGCTTCTTTAAATTTTACTTGTGCACCTTTGTAATTTCTATTAATAGCTGAGGCATTATCGCATGACTGCCCACGACAAGTCAATTTTTATTAAGACTTTACATTAATTATATACAAAAATAGGCTTAAAACTCTTTATTTCATTATATAAGGGAACCTCCAACATGCGGGGCCCCGGGCTTTAGCTTAATAAGCCCAATAGTAAATCCGGCATTGTTCTTAACTATTGTATGAAACTATTCGGTGAAAAAGTTAAAGTTGTCATTGTTTTTTTTTTATAACTAAATACAGCCTTCAATCCAATAACAGTGTGTTATTGCCAACACAATAACTGTATGTTATTGTAGAGGACGTTTGATTAGGGCTCAGAAATGTACTTATTTAACATGAATTTTTCATCACTCTTTCATCCATTGTATTGTAGTTTTTCGGTGTTGAAAAAACTAATTGTAATAATTTGTAATTACAAAAAAAAGTTATAACAGTTTTAAATAGAAATAAAAAATATACCATCTAGTTTTTCTTTCAGTCTCTGATTTTGATTCTTTTGATTCAAAACTTTGCTCTCGTGTTTAGGAAGTTCCATTTTTGCTTTTGCGTAAGAATAGTAAAACGAAAAATTACTTCCAATAATAGATATCGGAAGTGCAACCACGAGTATTCCGAATGAGGCACAAAATCCACCAATTATTTTTCCCGCTAAAGAAGTTGGCGACATATCACCGTAACCAACAGTAGTTAAGGTAATTATAGCCCACCAAAATGAACGTGGAATGCTTTCGAAATTAGAACCACTATTCTAATATTTTGGTAAAAAAAAAAAAAAAAAAATTTATTAAAAAAAAAAGTTATTTCAGTTAATAAACTTCTTATTTCCTAGCTTCAAAATTATTAAAAAAATAAAAAACAAAATTGAAAAAAAGGCAATAAAGCAGATAATACTACAATGAAATAATAGTGATAAAAGACGCCAAAACGCTCAAAGGCAACAGTATAGCAATGACGTCATTTTTTTTTCACATATAAGTTTAAAAATTTTTTTTAGGTGTCAAGATTAAAACCGAAAATCAAAAAAGAAAAAATTTTTAAGATGCTATAGGGCATACATAACAAGAATCTGGAGTAAGATACTTTACAAGTAATAGTTTTAAATTTTACTATAAAATAATCTGAAAAATTTATAAACACACAACAAAACCGCACAATTTCAATTTTAACCCAATGACGAGCCGTTACCTCAAAAGTCTTGGCATTTAAAAGCTAATTTGCCATAACTTTCCTATTCTAATCTCTTATTCTAGTAAACTAATATAGTTTAAAGAGTATACTGTACATTATATAATACATTTTTTATAATAGCAGTGATACAATGGTTAGTGTTCAACAATATTTGCAGCTGTGGCGCAGTGGTTAGAGCTCTGGTTCAGAACCAAGAGATCAGAGGTTTATTAACGCCAGCTTAACCCAATAAACGACATTGGTAAGGATACTATATCTATATATATATATATATATATATATATATATATATATATATATATATATATATATATATATATATATATATATATATATATATATATATATATATATATATATATAGTATATATATATATATATATATATATATATATATATATATATATATATATACATATATATATATATATATATATATATATATATATATATATATATATATATATATATATATATATATATATATATATATATGTATATATATATATATATATATTTATATATATATATATATATATATGTATATATATATATATATATATATTTATATATATATATATATATGTATATATATATATATATATATATATATATATATATATATATATATATATATATATATATATATATATATATATATATATATATATATATATATATATATATATATATATATATATATATATATATATATATATATATATAGATAGATAGATAGATATATATATAGATAGATAGATAGATATAGTAATGAAATAGGTTCGTGACAAATGAACACACCTACTGGTTTATTTATAGTTATACTAGTGAAGTACCATTTTTTCATCTTGAATGCATTTAGAAGTTTTTTTACTTTTTTGTATTGAAATTATCATAAAAAACACTCTAAACGTTTAAAATTAGGCGTTTTAAACTTATTAAGCGATTAAATATTAAACATACATACTAAATAAATCAAATTTCAATTGATAATAAAAAAAAGCAAATAATTACCCAAAACTAAATGAGCTGTTAAAACAATTAGGTAATAAAATACTGACAATTAATAACAATATTTAAATATATATATATATATATATATATATATATATATATATATATATATATATATATATATATATATATATATATATATATATATATATATATATATATATATATATGTATATATATATATTATTTAAATAATGTTTAATAATAGTTAAAAATAAAAACAAAAGTACTATGTAAAAATACTATCTATACTAAATCTTAAAAAATATATTTTAATTCAAATATCAATAAATGAAATACCTTTTCAGCATAATAAACCATTGTTGCAAAAACTACCATTGGAATTGTAAGCACTAGTATTAGCAACAATAGTTGTTCAAAGCTTGCTTTTAATGTCTCCCCTATTACTATCATACCTCGGAAACCTTTGAAGTACCGAGGTAGCCGAAATATACGAAGCAACCGTAAAAGTAATAAAAATCCGATTTCTCTTTTCTTAAAAACAAATTCATAATAAAATGGCAATATTGAAATTATATCAAACCACGTGAGATATTCTTTGAAAAGGTTCACCATTGAAGGGCAACAACCAATTCGTAAAATTAAATCCAGAGAGAAAAATATGCAATAGAATATTTCGAATGAATTAAATAACTTTTCTTGCTTTTTAAATAACGGTTCCGTAGATAAACAGAAGGTTACTATTGAGAGCAATACTATGAAAATGTTTATACCAGTTATCGTCTAAAAAAAAACAATAAAAAGATTTATATAGATCAATATAGATAAAGTCTATGTAAACGCAAATACATTGTTATATTGCATGCGTAAAAGTGAATTAAAAAAGTTTTTTTCAGAGGAAGCATTATTCGAAGTATTCTCTTTCTATATGCTTTTATTATACATCAAACAATTTTATGGTAATTTATTATCAGCCTTTGCACGCTTCACCGCCATTTACCACTTCATCGCTTAATCGACATTACCTAAAAATGACTTGCTTAACTTTAAATATTCTTCTTTAAAAGAGAAGTGAAAAAAAAAATTACTTTAAGCCTTAATTTGTTGATCTGACTTTCATAATTGTTGAAGATTTACCTTTCATATCATGTATATATTTTCCTCTCACATCTTTTATACACCCACCTCATATCTTTTATACACCCAACTTTCATATCTTTTATACACCCACTAACTATAACTTTTATACTGCCCCTTTTTCAACTTTTATACAAACTCCGTTCATATCATTTTACGTCTACTTATTATATCTCTCATGCAGCCGCTTCTCATATCTTTTATACATTTCCCTTAATTTATCTATGCAACACTCCTTAAAAGTAATATATATATATATATATATATATATATATATATATATATATATATATATATATATATATATATATATATATATTCAATTTCTTTAATACTAAACTAATAAAAAAGAGAGCGTTACATTAAGTAAGCCTTCCCAGTGGGCATAAGACGTGTTTTTAACGTCTAGAATATGTATTAAAACGTTTTAGTACGTGTTTTAGACGTTTAAAACGCGTCTTGTACCCACTGGGTTCTTACTTTTTCAATTTACCTAAAAGTATCAAAGCAATATGTTTTAGGATGAAAAATAACTTTTTAATTTTTTTTACATTAGCACAAGTACTTGTTTTACTTAAATACTTAAGTATACGTTTTACAATTAGACAAAATAAAGTTTTGGAGATATTTTACCTTTTTTGCTATTTCAATAGTAAAAAGAACCCATTGGTTGTTTCAATAGTTTCGCCTTCGGAAATTTGTTTTTAATTTAAAGTTTGCTGTGGTAGATTATTGAAGGAATAAAATAAGGTAAAATTTACATATATATATATAAATATATATATATATATATATATATATATATATATATATATATATATATATATATATATATATATATATATATATATATATATATATATATATATATATATATTTATATATATATATATATGTATATATATACATATATAGGGTTTTGAATATTTTGAATATTTCAATATATTTTAAAATATATATAAAGTATATACATAAATTTTACCAGATAGAAATGCTTGCCAAATTGTAATTTTTGAAACAATTGTTTTATATTTTTAAATGAAGAAGATATACTAAAAAAATAGGCGGAGTTATTACCAAACCAAGCTACCCCTGTTTTTTTTTTAAATAAAAGAGTTTACAACTCTTCCAATAACTACTTTGAAAACCCCGGCGCTCTGTATTTGTCCCAGTTGGCTTAAATTGGATCATTGTATACATACATTCTCAATGTAACTTTTTGGTGGTAAAATATGTGATATTTTTCTTGTTAGTTTTTCCAATAACACTTTTCCTTTTGAGGTCTCATCCAAGTTTTTTTCATATGACAAAAGCTCATCTTCTTCAACTTCAAATAATTTCAGGTTTTTACTAACTTCTCTGTATTCACTATAATTAGGCCAACAACAAGGTTGCATCATCATTTCATCTACACCCCAAAACTCAAGCTCCTAAAAACAGATATAAATTTATAAAAAAGAAAATAAAAAAAAATTTTTAAATGCAATTTTAAACAATTTACAACATTTTAATTTGTTCAAATTTTCCCTTTTTATTTAAATCTATTTATAATCTTATAATTTTTTTATCATAACTTTATTCCTACCGAACTCAACCTTTTGGATTTTAATTCATTCATTTTTTTTTATTTATTCAACTTTGTTAAGAGATAAACAAACTATTTTGATACTATTGGTTAATATTTGATAAAATTGTTATATAAATTAGGTAATTAAATAATTTTTGATTATAAAAACATATTTTTTTCACTTAAGTGCAAGAATGGAGTGGTAATAAATTAGAAATATAAAGCATACCTCTTGAAAAAGGGGGCCGCACACATCTTTTGGGCAATGAAGTCTACCAGTCCGGCAATAGTTTAAAATATTCTCAAAACACCCTGGGTGTCTATCAAAGAAAAATTCACTTGTCTCCACACTTAAATTTTCCATTGCCAATGCAGTCTCAGCTATCCAAAACAATCTTGTATCTGGAAAATTTTGAATAGTACTGATATAACATTCATGTCTTGATCCACCAACATTAATAATTATTCGGCCAATATTATTTTTGAAATCATCAGTTACAAGTTCTTCGTGATTCATCATTTGTAAGAATTCACACTTTAATTAGATTAAGTGAAAAGCAAGAAGTTCTTTATTTGTACACCTTGCAATTGTTAACATTTGAAGAATGAATAAAACTTAGTAAAAAAGAGAAATTGTTATATCTGGTCAGAGTCTCGTATAAATCTGTACTTTTGTTTTCTCAAAAAGGTACTTTTAATTTATTTACAATATCGTAATGAATGAGTGAATGGCAAAATTAACATGTTAGTTTTGCCATAATCACTCATTCAATGAAATAAAATTTTTTAATAAGAGTTGTAAGTCATATGTATAAGCTTACAATTCAATATTATTATTATTATTATTATTATTATTATTATTACCAATATTATTATTGTTATTATAATGATGATTATTGTCAAATAAAGTTTATCTTTAAATAAATAAATAATAAAAACATCAATATTTAAAAGTAAAAGTTTTTAATTTCAATAGTAATAGTAATACTTCGGCTTTTAATTGTTGATTTTCAAACTGAACTGTTTCGTTTAATTGCTTTGCTAAAATAATCTAAATTTAAAGTTTTTATTTTTAGTGATTTTCGAAATGCGCGCAAGATAACATGAAAAAAAAGTCAAGTTTTTCAAGTGTTTTAATTTTGAATTACGATACACTCACTTTCATTCTCTTGTATTTTTAGTTCAATTTTATTCCAGCCTTTTCAGTTTTTTTATTTTAATTTAACAATAAGTTTAGAAAAAGTGCGAATAAAAAAAGTATAAAATAAAAATCGGATAAAATATTGTTTGTTTCTATAGAAACATTTCTATAGAAACAAACTAGTTCTTTAAATCCGTTTTTTTCTTTTTTTCTTTTAATACAAAGTATTTAACATGTTTTTGTTATATACTTAAAAAAAAAATTTCATTAAAAATGTCATGTTTATTATTAACTAAATATTTTTATTATTATTTTATTTATAAAAAAAAAAAATGGAATTTTTCAAAAACCCGAAAAAGACTTCTTTAACCGTCCAATTTTTGGATCGAAGAGTTGCAGTTAGCGCAAAATCCTCATTTTTGAATCGAAGAGTTTCAGTCGCAAAATCCTCATTTTTTTTTTGAGTCAAAGCTATTATGAGCTATTAATTTAGGTGTTCACATGGGCGTCCATTAAATCTAGTTGCAGTACATTACTCTAGCGTTGACAGTCTAATGAGATGAGCATAAGAGGTGTCACAAAACTCAGGTCAAGCTCAGACCGTATGCTAAATTACTAAATTCGTCTGAACATGTGTTTAAAACAGGCACCGAGTGACCCCAGCGGTGTATAACCGATATTCCAGAGCAGCATTTCTGGTGGAAGTGACTATTCCAATCAAGGTCATTTTGTAATGTCAAAAATGGAGTGTGATTACAGATTGAGTTTCTAACTTTCTGTTAGCAATAGCTCTTGGCTAACTCTCTTATCTTTTGCTGGAGAGGTTATTTGAGTTTTTGCTTCATTGATATCAGTGGTGTCGCTGAGGTTGGTGTCATCCAGTGCGGTAACCTTTTAGTGTCACCCCTCTAAACTAACAGATGAAAAATGAAACTAAAAAAGTCCTCTATATTCAAAAATTAAAAAAAAGTTCTTTAGAAAAATAAATTCTGGCATATTTGCTTTTTATTCATTTTGGTGCCACCCCTGTGTGTCATGCTGTGATGGTGTCACCTGGTGCGGACCGCACTCCCCTAGCGACGCCACTGATTGACATGAACGACCAATTAAGCAAATTATTAATTTCTTCCAGTGAGTTATCATTGTCTTTGTGTCCAACATTATGCAGTAGAGATGTTATTTCAAACAAGTTTAAAAGACCTCCAGATTTGTAAAGTACCGACATTTCAATAAAATTAATTAAAATTTAATGGACCTAGCGCCAATCCGACATCAATCGTTTTCATTGTAAACTTGATGTTACTGATGTAGCCTAAACATAACTAAAAACGTTTTCACTAAATATCGTGTTACTAAAGGTAAAATATCGTGTTACTGAAAATAAAATACAACAGATGGTCCAAGTTCTAGTTAAGACTCCTATAATTGCGGTAGCGCTTTTGACACAAGGATTTGATGCGTGCGAAGTTGATCATGATAACAATACGGAATTGTCTTCTTTTTATAATATCAAAAGTCAGTCTTAGTTTTGTGTTTGATTAATATGTAACCGCTTGATTCTAAGGCCGTGATGTTAGTTAAAAAATGACTTGTGTTAGCAGCTTATTTGTATGCTTTTTGCTCTAAAATATATGGTTGTACTCGACACTTGCTTTTTTAGAAAATTGTTAAATTAAACATTTTTTTTTACTTTAGCCATTTTTATAGCTGTAAGAAAAAACTAATGTGATTTAAAAGGAGTATTAAAACCTCTCTAAAATTCAAGTATATTCAATTATTTCAGATATTATCTCACGTGAAACAAAGTGCATTGTGCTTTGTCTGAAAATTTAAAAATCATGCGCTACTCTGCGGATATATTAGAAGAAAGCAAAGTTTTCCTCATAGAACTTTAAACTGAATACCCTAATTTCGTTTTAAGAACACTACAGTTATGTGTGTTAACTGTGATAGCAGTTTGCTTAAATACGCCTTACAAAAAAGAAATTTTCTAAAAAAGCTGACTACTGGTAAGTGAGCGAAAAATGTTTTCCAGCGTTAAAAATATATAAGACCGATAAAATATATAAGACTGATAAAATCGTTTCACGCATTCATAAAAAATAGAAAATGTTTCTTTTTTATAACAGAAAAAAAAAAAAAAAAGAATAATGATATATGGAAACGTTTTTTTCACAAAGTTAGAAAACTTTCAAAAAAATGTTTACGCAAAGCGATACTTTTTTTTTTTTAAATAAACCTTTATAGCAGCATTAAATTAAGCATCGCAAAAAATGAGACAAAAAAGAAAAAAATCAAAAACTTTTAAAAAAATTAAAACTCAATATTTCGAGTACTTGTAAAGAAAATCTCACATTTTATAACAATTACAATTGTATAAAAAATTAGGGTGCTAGTCGAAAGCATGTAAATTGAACGCGGCAATTACACCACCACACTCACCAGAGTCTAATAAGGGTTTTATCATTAGAGGCCAAACTCTTGCAGTTGTGTTTAAAATAAATATTTTTTTAATTTATCTATAGACATGTGAAAATGCGATAGTGTTGCTATGTACATAACTTTTTTACAGTTATTTTATAGCTTATATGTCATTACCTTCTTCCGAATCATCACACCATACTAAAACTTCATTTTTTCCAACATCTTGTTTTACTAGCGATACAGTGCGATTTCGCTTGTTAATTTGAACATTACTTTTGTTTAAACTATTGAGCTTTTGGCGTATTGCTGCTCTGTTTTTTGTGCTTATTCTTCTTGGTTGAAACTGTCCGATATCGAGGTGAATAACTTTTTTGTATTTGTGAATTTTATTATTAGCATCTTCTGAATATATATTGTGATTTTTTGTCGGGTCGCTCTGATCTGCATTTATAAATGTGTGATCCTTTGTTTGTCTGTCTTTTGTTTCGCTGTTACATTTGTTGACTGTTGCTGTTATGTTTGTTGAGTGTTGACTTTCGGTCGAATTTTTAAAGCTATGAAACTCGGCCATGCTTGTAAAAGAATTTTTTATTTGTTCTTGAGAAATTTCATTATTTTTAATGAGGTTATCGTTATTATTTTCATAGACTCTTGGTTCACTGCAAAGATTTTTATCAGTATTACTTCCATTGTTAATAAATTCATCGTCATAAAACTTACTGTTACTATGCTCATAACTTTGTATGTTATTGATTGTATGTTCATTATTACTCGTTTGAAATGATGTCTCTTCATCATGAAAATTCTTGTAATGAATGGAATCATCAAAAACTCTACTTGTAAGTGAATTTAAAATACCGGATTTTAAAACGGATACCTTGGTAAGACGTATAGATTTATTCGAGTCTACAATATTATCGTCTTTTGGGATTTCGGACGTTTTCTGGATTGAGTATTTTTTTACTTTAAGTATATGATTCTTTTTGGCAGGATTGAATCGACGGTCTACTAATATCAATAAAACATATTTCATGCATATTGAAAAAAAGCATTTAGAGTTTTTTTTTAAACAGTTACATAACAGAATACAAAATAAAAAAATAAAATAAGGAACAAAAAAAAAATTAAAAAAAAAAAATCAAGTCCAAAAAACAGATGCCTTTTAAATCATTTATGTTTGTTCTAATTTGTAACATCTGAAGATATGTAACAATAGTAGATATGTAACAATAGTAGATATGCAACAATAGTAGATATGTAACAATAGTAGATATGTAACAATAGTAGATATGTAACAATAGTATATATGTAAAAATAGTAGATATGCAACAATAGTAGATATGCAACAATAGTAGATATGCAACAATAGTAGATATGTAACAATAGTAGATATGTAACAATAGTAGATATGCGACAATAGTAGATGTGTAACAATAGCAGATTTGTAACAATAGCAGATTTGTAACAATAGCAGATTTGTAACAATAGTAGATATTTAGCAATGGTAGATATGTATATCAAATGTATAATTTTACTTTTAACAGATTTAAAGATAAAAAAATAATCAATCAATTCTACAAATGTTTTAAGAAAGAAAGGGAATAAGAGATTAACTTTTAACTTTTGAGCCCTAGGCGTTTTGATATATACTTAGAAATATTACTCAAACCTAGATATATTATTTTTCCAACTTCTGATTACAAAAATTAGTGTGAATGTTGTGATACAAGTATTCTATGATATATTATTATACAAATGATACTATTATACTATGATATACTATTATACAAATATTACTATAATTAGTGACCTTGAAAAATATACAATTGTATATAATATATTATTGATATATTTTATTATATATTATATTACTTATATATTATATTTATTAGTATATAATATTTAAATAAGAATATTTCTGATAAATTTAAAACATTACTATATATAATCTGGATAAAGTATAAAACATAAATACAAATAGGTCAAAAATCTAAACAAAGATATCTTACAATTTTATGCTACTATTTATAATGTATTTTTGAAAACAGCTTAAAAAGATCTAAGAAGACAGAATCTTCTCTCTATAATTATTGGGAAGTCTGAATTTACATTAAAAAATAGAAATTCGACAGTCTGGTAGACTACAACCATTAACAGCTGTAAAAGTTTAATTATAAGATATTTTAAAAACTTTGATTGAATAAAGCCTTGAAATTACCAAAAAAAAAAAGAAAACTTTAAATTGATAAAAAAATAAGACATTTAGTTTTGTATTTATTATTTTTTTATTTAAGACAAAGTGTGAAACTATTATTTATAGTATTTAAATAATCAAAGCATGTTAGATTCGTTATTTTTCCACTTAAGATTAGTTATAAACTCTTTTAAATCAAAAATTTACATTTTATTGAGTAATTTATATATATAAATATTTATATTTTGTAGAAAAACTTTAATATTATTTCTACACAACTATTGATAAAATATTTTAGTCAGAAGGCTCTTTTATTAGTTTTTGTCTTAGGGCCCTAAATTCCTAACTACGTCGCCATTCCATTTATTTACATCGTTAGAGTTTCAACTTAATTTTAAGGGGCTTAATGGGCTGTTTGGCAAGAGATTGAATTTTATTGCGGGTTGATGCCATCATTTCGCATATTTTTTATTTTTATCTTATTGGTGACATTATTCTACTTTTTTTGGAAATCCTTTTTAGTTTTTAGCGCTCCACCTGTCTAACGAAGAACTACTTCAACTGTTGCTCAAAAATCTTTAATCTTGCGCTCTTTAAGACAATTTGGAGGATTTGCATCTTTAGGAACCATTTTCACATTATTATCTTTGCACACTGTAGAATTTTTTTAGAATAGTGAGTAGCAGCAAGACCTGGCCGAAAGAGACATAGGTATTTGTCTTTTTTCATAAACGACAAAAGTCTTTTTTGGAGGCAGTCTTTGATGTAGAGATCGGCATTCAAGGTCTTCTTAGTGACAAAACAAGAGGACTGCATAAAACAGCTACAAATTGCATGACACAAAAGGAACTTGGATGCAAATTTTTCTTGTCGAATTTATTTAAATTGATCATTAAAAGGTTTATCTTTATTCTCATAGTAAAATTGTAGACCAGGAAGTTGTGAAAAATTTGCCTTGCAATATGTTTTGTCATCTTCAATTATACACACACTTTTATCCACCATTATTCTAACCAACTTCTTTGCGTGTTGAATTCCTCTAATTTCACCATTTAAGCTTCGCATAGATGTATTTTTCTAATGAAATGCTTTAGTTCCAGCATTTTTAAGTACTTTTTTGATCTTGAATTTTCTTGCTAGATTTCACTGTGACTGGTTTGGATTTCTTGCTATTGAACGTAAAATCAACTTTACCTTTTTTGGATTTATGGAAAGTTTCTTCCACTTCCAAGTTTTCTTTTGAAGCTTTGAGTAGTCTTCAACTTATTTGTAATATCTATGACTGTAGATTTTGGGACATTTGTACGTTTAGCAATCAGGCGATATGAAGCTGATGGATTTTTGCAAAAAAAAATTCACAACTTATTAACGCACATCAATTTGTTTCCGAAACATTTTGCAAATCATTGATTTGTAAACAAAATTTTATCAACACAATTAAAGATAATGAAGTAACGTTTAATTAAAAAAATAAAAGAAATAAAAAGCATTTTTAGTTTTAGAGAAATCTCAATTTAAAGTTGACCGGATTTTTCCGTGTCCACCCAATAAGTCATGGAGAACTAAAATTGGCCAAGAAGCTGCAAAAAAAGCCAAAGGTATCAATATACAAACTAAAGATAATTCAGCAATACAAAACATTAAAAAACAAATTGAATGCTTTTCTCCTGATTACAAAATTGATCAGTCAATAGAATTAAATAAGGATGTGTTATCATATTACTGCGGACATTCTTATTATGACCACTACATCTACATTCTATCCAAAAACAAAGTTTTGCGTACTTATTGAACTTGCGTTTACTTATTTTATGGAAACTTAAAAAAAAATAATAATCATACCAAATTTTTTTTCATTAGCTATTTCATCTGGATTTACAAAAGCATTTTGCTCATGCTTTGGAAGTTCCATTTTTGCTTTTATGTAGGAATAGTAGAATGAAAAGTTACTACCAATAACAGATATCGGAAGCGCAACTATAAGTATTCCAAACATGGCACATATTCCACCAATAATTTTACCTGGTACAGTTGTTGGTACCATCTCTCCATAACCAACAGTTGTTAAAGTAACTATTGCCCACCAAAATGAGCGTGGAATGCTCTCAAAACCATTTTTCTAAAAAGAGCAATTTTCTTTAAAAATTTAATTGAAACAAGTCATCACATGCATTTAACTTAACTTGTGTTAAACATATTTAAGATGTATGCTGATAATAGCAAAATATTAGCTATAGAAGATTCCTTGGATAAGGAAACAAAAATTTAAATTGACCTCAATAAAAATGATTGGCTAATGAAACTTAACTACAAATAATGCAAAGTGATAAGATTAGGTAATCAAAATGTTCAATGTGGAATTGTTAAAACATATAAAATGAATATAAATGGCATGATTCATGACCTCTCAGACACTTTTAGGGAGAGATCTGGGGATTTTTGTAAAATTGGATATGAAGTGGAAACATCAAACACAAGTGTGTGTGAACAAAGCTTTAAAAATACTAGGGGTTGTTAAAAAACACTTTCAAAAGACCTCATCTTGAATTTGTGGCTCCAGCATGGAATCCACCAAATCTAGCAGAAATTTCTATGCTCAAAAGAGTTTAACACAGAACCACCAAAATACCATATTCAAATGGGATGCTTAGATATAAAGAATGACTAGTTAAAATGGGTTTAACAACTTTAAATCTTAGAAGAAAATGGGGAGACTTGATTCAGTTATACAAGATATTAAACAATTTAGAGTCTGTTAACATTTTTTTAAAACCAGTCCTTAATTACTATAAATTATTGCCAAACTTAATAGTTTTATTAGTGTCCCTTGAAGCGTATTTGACGCAAAACCTATTGCAGCTATCGCAACCAAGGTATTGACAAGAAAGAGTCTCACCTTTGCTTTATAAGAAAACATGAGCAAACGTGAAACTTATATCATGCGTATGTAAAATCATGTTATGTAATGTTAAAACATGCTTAAACATATATCAAGTTTAAAAGTTTGATTTTCACTTAAAAACTGCATCGCGTCAACCTCTCCTTAATTTCTGATCTTTAGCATCTATATCTGCTAAAATTAATTTTTATATAGTTTTAAAACTTCCACAAACAACGTGACAGCATAGCCGAGTAGTTAGCGCGCTTAGCTTCTAAACAAGAAAGCTGTGTTTTGAGTCCTACCACCGGCAACTTTTTTATTAAATTTTTTTAGATATTTTTTAATTAAAAAATACTTGTGAAGTTTTATAAATATTATAAACAAACATATCTGACAATATTATACACTTTAACAAACGAAATGATTTTTAAGAAAACTAAAAATTCTTAAAACATTTAAAAACGGGGGGATGTTTGTTGCGTATCACAGTAGGCTAATTTTCAAAAAAGCTGGCCAAAAGTCAAAAAAAAAAAATCACTAATTTGAATTTATTATTTTGAAACTACATAAACAAAGCCCTGTTGCATTTTATTGTATAAGAAAAAATTGTATAAATTTTAAAGTTACCTATATCTACGCAGTTAAACATCTGTTATTAAAAACACTTTAAAAACAAAAAAAAAATGCGGTTAAATAAGTATCGTTTACAAAAAAGTTATTTATCGTTACTAAAAAACTAACTATGGACGATACTATTCAAGGTATTTATATAATGTTTTAGTAAAAAGTTTTATATTATTTCTTTAAATTTTATGCGAAAAGTGCGAACAAAAAAGTACAGAATAAAGTTTATTTATTTTCTTTAACCTATTTTTCAAGCATTGAAAAAGTAGTGAACCCGCGAGATTCCGCTTAGTTATAATTTGGATGTTGTTCATAAAAGTGTATTCTAAAGATTAGTTAAAAGAAAAGGCACCTATTTTTGTCTATTACTTCATTAACTTATATTGTGTAGTGCTAGTCGTGTTTATTAGTAAACAAAATGGCGGTGTTTTGTTTTCTTAACAAAATCAAAATTGTAAATAGTTATTATGTTTCTTGAGAAACTGATTTTTGTTAAGTGCAATAAAACTACAATAAAATTAGTAGCACACATGAATGAGATTTTGACAAAGTTAGAGTGTAGGTGGGGGGGGGGGGAGGGGCAAACCCCCTCGGTTACGACGTCATTTTTACCTCAGCTACGACGATTTTGGTATAGTTTTATTGAATTTTACAAAATCAGTTTCTCAAAAAACATAATAACTATATCTATATACAATCATATGATTAACAGTATATTTTACCTTTCTCTTATATATCGAATTTATATTATATAATATATTATCGATTACTTTTTATTTTATTTTTAATTAGTTTAGTAAAGTTATAATGTTTTTATGATTTTTTCAGTTATTATATTTTCAATTAATATCTAAGGTTCACAAAAAGATCATTTGCAAATTCCTCGAATTTAAGTTTTTGAAATTTTAAAAAACGAGTTATCTTCAGATCTAGATGACCAGCTTGATATTTTGCAATCACAGTTGTGTCTAAGAAGAAAAATTTGTTTCCAATTTTCAACAGATGATAAAAAGAAACTAAAAAATGTATTGACAAAATTAAAAATAAAATGGAAAAGTAGTAACCGAACAATAAAAATATTTTTGAAGACACATGACACTTGGTTAAAAGCCTCAACAAATATTTGTGTAAGCTATTTAATGCTTATCTCTATTGAAGCTTTAAATTTTTTTATATTTACTAAACATTTAAATAATTTCAGATTGTTCAAGCACGAAACAAAGAGAAAAAAAGCCATAGTGCAATGGGTCGACCACCTTTGAATTTTGATGAAGCAAGTGAGCGAACGAAACGGCGAAAAACAGAGGAAATGCTTCGACATTTAGTTCATCCGAGTTAGCATTTGCTTCTCAGATGAGTCTTCGGGCTTCAGGAGCATGCAATGCCGGAGTTACAGTTGAAGATTTACCTTCCACCATTCAACACCGAGTCGCAAATTATATAAAGAGCCTTAAATTGTCCCAAATTTCACAAACATCTGAACTATATACTGAAACAGCTCTTTCCATACTAATGGAAGCAAAGCTTTCTAAACACCAATATTGCATTATAAGAAGTGCTGCAATTGCGAATAGCTCTTCTTTTTTACCATCTTACGAAAAACTTAAAGAAGCCAAGAAAATGTGTTACCCTGAAGATATAACGGTAACTGAAATAAGCGCCGAAGTAAAACTGCAATCTTTATTAAATCACACTTTTTTACGAATTATAAAAACTCAACAAGATGTAATTGACTCCTTGAATGTAAATATTTTATCAAATTTTATTTTAATTCTTAAGTGGGGGTTTGATGGCAGTTCCGGTCATAGCGAATATAAACAGAGATTTGCCGATGGAAGATACTCAGATGCAAATGTTTTTCTGACTTCACTTGTACCATTACAACTTTTGTGTACAAATTCAGTTTTAGATCAAGATGTTATTCTATGTAAAAATAGGACACCCACATCTACTCGATTTTGCCGACCTATCAGACTGCAATTTCTTTTCGAAAATGTCCATACAACCATTAATGAAAAGACTATATTGAAAATAAAATTAAATCACTGGTTCCTCTTATCATTGTTCAACATAAAATAGAAATTAAAATACATTATAAATTGGTTATGACAATGATTGATGGAAAAGTTTGCAATGCAATAACATTGACGAAGTCAACAATGCGGTGTTATTTGTGTTCTGCTACTTCGAGTCAATTCAATAATATCAATTTCGTTGAAGAAATAAAAGTTGACGAATCAAAATTGGAATACGGTTTATCAACGTTGCACGCATGGATTCGCTTTTTTGAATGTTTTTTGCATCTTGGATATAAACTTGGAATAAAAAACTGGCAAGCACGTTCTGACATTGAAAAAAGTATAATATTACGACAAAAAAGCTCAAAGATTTTTTAATACCTCACAAGTGTCTGCTGATATTCTAGGAGTGGATATAGAACTAATAAATCGGTTTCATGTAATTTTACAGGTATTATCTAGTGGCTTTCCTATAGACGCAGACAAACTTGATAACTATTCTACCGAAACTGCACTACTTTTTGTTGAAAAGTATCCTTGGTACAACATGCCTACAACAGTACACAAAGTATTTATTCATGGAGCCTTAATAACAAAAACAGCAATACTACCCATAGAAAAACTATCTGAGGATGCACAGGAATCGAGAAACAAAGACTTAAAAAAATATCGCGAAGATTTCTCTAGGAAAAATTCCAGAAAAAAATACAATGCATGACGTTTTTTGCAGACTTCTGGATTCGTCAGATCCTGCAATACCTTCACTTTTAAAATCTCATGCAAAAGTTAGCAGATCTTTGTCTTCTCAAGCTTTACAAATGTTATTACCTCCGGAGATTAACGAAAACTCTGAAACTCATTCGTCTGTGATTGAGTTGATCAACAATATTTCAATAATAAATGATTCAGATGGCAGTGGTGATTTATTTTAAAGTAATATAAATGAAACAATTATGATAAATGATGCAAATAAAAGTTTTCCTTGTTTTCCTTGAACAATTAAATAAGTAGAATAAATAATGAATTTTTCAATTTATTTTTCTTAACATTGCGGCATAATAATACGGTCATAATACATTATATATCGGTATTATATATAATGTTTATATATGTAATGTAAATAATACATTAGTCGGCGTCCTATGATTCAACCGAATCCCTAATTTCAATTTAGAACCGAATATGAGAAATTTATTACACAACCGGAAATATTTACGAAAAAAATTAGAACCGAAAAAATTTCAATCGAAATTTCGATCGAAAGTCATTAATGATTTTAGAACCGAAAAAATTTCTATCGAATTTTCGATCGAAAGTCATTAATGATTTTAGAACCGAATTTCATTAAAATGGTTTACAACCGAAAGTTACACTGTTATCAAACATTGTATATTTTAGAAAACGATGAGGGAAAACGAAGAATAATGAATGAAAAGGTTGCTGACCTATACCAAACCCTCAGTCGATGTAGCAGCACTCCACTGCGAGTCAGGCTATTTGTCAGTCGATGTATGTACTGAAGTCCCCAGCAGCAGGCTATTTGACGTTAGGTGAAAAAGAAAGGATTTTGTAATTCGATCCAAATTTTTTCGGTTGTAAAAGTATACTTTTCGGTTCTAAAATTTTCGGTTGTGAAATATTTAGGTGATATTTTCGAGGATAAATATTTTCGGCTCTATCATGTGACACGCATTATCTATTGAACTTAAATGTCGAATTAGAACTAATTGGTTAAACACGAAGGCCCAAAGGCATTTCTAATGATTAATGTTTTTTAAAACACCGCCATTTTGGATCTGCCATTATTGAATTTTGGTACACTTATGTAAAATTCAAAGTTGGGGATTCAAAAAAATGCTATACAGAAATTTTCCATTAATTATAATCAGTTTTTGACTTTTGGCCAGGTTTTTTGAAATTCCACCCACTGTGCGTATGTGTCATTATTGAGATACTTATGTTATTTTAGTTTAAGATTTTAAGTTTATTTACAACTAAGTTGAGTTTGTGAAAGAAAAATGAGTAAACAACATGTTTATATATAGAATATAAAATCTATAGAACTATAAAGTTGTTGATTTGCATTTTAAACAACAAAAATTAAAAAACAAGCAAGCTGATGAACTTATTTAATAAAACTATTTAATAATAATATTATAATTAACATTATATTATTATCATATAATTAATATTATATTAACAATAAGGAAATTTAGAGATTTACAGTTATTTAAAAACGCCTGTGTTAAACATTCTAAACCAAGTACGCAACAATAACTTTGATGACATAATAGTGAGTTTAAACACCTGTTATCTCCAGGCGGTGTTAGTACAAGCGCTAGAAAGTTTGCTAGCACCGCAAATTTAAAAAACGTTAAGCATGAAAAATTTTCAACATGTGCGCATGCAAAGTCATTCATTTTTATTCACTTAATTTTAAGTCATAAAAGTATTTCCAAAATTCCAATATTTTTAAAAATTCCAAGAACAATTCTAAACAAAGCTGCTCTATATACGATCAAAGCAATCTTACTAGAAATTCTGCATCAAAGTTTACTTTAAATTTAAAGATGACATCGGGAGTTAGAGAGTTGTTAACCTCAAAAATATTAAAGCAAATCATTCAAAACAAAAGTATGAGTTCAAAACTCATTAATTATTCATGTAACATACGTTTTTAAGCAGTGGTAAGAAATAAGATTTTTAGCGTACATTTTAAACGTGATGTGTTACAAAGGAAGTTTCCCTAAGGCTAATTAATTATTTACGAGAAATTCTTTTGTATTCCTACCACTGCTTCGAGATAACACTTATATGCTTAAACTCACTAATGTGATGCACGAGGCACTGTAAATGTGCACGCGATAAGTATTTAAATTTCTTTTTTAACTTTCATAATTAGATTAAGATTTCCCCTCTATTTATTAAAGGGAAGGAATTACCTTTACCAAAAGTGCAGTTTGAGAAGTTAGAGTGGGCAGTAGAAAATACATAACTACATCTACAAATAAAAGAGGTATTTAAATGTATTTAGTTTTATATGTATATATTTATTGATCTATTTTTTAAGTTTTGTATGAAATAGATATATTCTTTTAAAAATATCAATTTTTTTTTTCTTTTAATATTAATTTAGTAAAAAATTAAGTTATGTTTACAAAAAAATTTGTTGAAAGTTGTACATTTTGTTTATACACTAAACACCATCAAAATTTAAGTCAACAGAACATGCAAAATATTATAATGATTCAACAGCTGCTGTTTATGATTCTTCATGTCATGATTCTTCATGTCAAAATTGTATAATGTCATTGAAGATTTTTTGAATACTTTATTAATTTTCATAATAATCACCGGTTATCATAGGTATTCATAGGTCTAATAAGTACTTGCAATATGAAAGAAGTTTTAATGACCTTAAAAAAACTTGATGAATTTAATATGAATTAAATTTTTTACTGTGTATGTTCTTTATTGATGTGTCCTTATTTGTTCAAGAAAATATTATTGTTTTTAATCAAAAGGATCAGAAAATTTTTTACAACTTTACTATCATTATCTTGTGACGGTAGAATTATTTTTTATGTTTTTAACTGCAAGTATTATGTATTAAAAACACCTTAAATTTAGTTGTTATTCCTTTTCTTTAGTTCTACTTTGGTGCTCCACAGACTATTATATGTTTATTTTGTCTACTGTTAAAATATGGTTTTAACTTAGTAAGCTTAAATTTACTATGTTGATCATTAGCTAATAGTTTGAAAAGAAATTTTTTGCAAACAAGGTAAGTATAATTTTATTTTCTGGTCGAATAACATTATTTTTTTGCACTTATAGCTAATATTTTTTGTGTGATATTTTGTTGTTGCAATAAATGTTTTTTTAATTATAATAAATTTTTTCTGTTATACATAAAGTAATTATATATATATATATATATATATATATATATATATATATATATATATATATATATATATATATATATATATATATATATATATATATATATATATATATATATATATATATATATATATATATATATATATATATATATATATATATGTATATATATATATATATATATATATATATATATATATATATATATATATATATATATATACTTAATACATATATATATATATATATATATATATATATATATATATATATATATATATATATATATATATATATATATATATATATGTATATATATATATATATATATATATATATATATATATATATATATATATATATATATATATATACTTAATACATATATATATATATATATATATATATATATATATATATATATATATATATATATATATATATATATATATATATATATATATGTATATATGTATTAGCCAATCCCTTTTTATTTTTTAGACAACCAATTTTTATGCGAGTGGCTAATGAGTGGCCTAGAGGTCATATTTATATTAAAATATTTTTTAAAAAATTTTTTCTTGAAGAAGTATTTGCGCCGATTGTTTAAAGTTATGCTTTTTAAGATTTTTGACTAAATTTAGAGCGATTTCCAAGCATTGGTGCAAATAGATTCTGATGTCAAATCCAGTTAATTTGTTCAACAATGTTTTCTTTATGTATTCCTGTACCAAAAAAAACACTGTGTTTATTAATTTAAGAAATATGTTGTGTCGATCTTGCACTGATTACGCTAAATTTTTTAAAATTTTTATCTTTGTTTATATTCGTCAATAAATTTCAAGTTTTATATTAATATCTCTCAGAGTTTATAAATTATAACCATATAAAGTTTAAATCCCCCTCAATTTGAGGGGGTAACTAATGTTATATAGTCATAATTTTTGAACGCTTAGAGATGGTAAAACAATACTTAAAATTTATCGATGAATATAAATTCAGTTAAAAATAATTATTTCATAAATAATTATTTCATCAACTTGTTGCTTTCACGTTTGGGGCACGTGGGATAAAATTTTAGAGCTTTTTTGTTCCCAGCCTCCAATCATTGAAACTTTTTAAAAAGCATCATTATTTGACATAAGTATAAACATACAAACGTTTGGATTTTTGCTCCAAGTTAGCTTAAACACCAAAAAATGCTGGAACCGTCTCTGCCACAGATCTCTTGTTTCTAGAGCAAATTTGCTTCAGAATTCAGCGTTTAAACGCTGCAAATGTGAAATAAATATTTATTTAAATTTTTAGCTTAAGACAAATATCTTAAGGAAATATGTAAAAAAATAATTTTTAAATAAACATTTAAGGTTCAGAGTTTACAGTTAGATATTGAATCAAAATTCAATTTATTAGAACCATTCAATAACGAGAAAGCGAGAAAGCAGTCGCCGTACCCAGCTCCTTGAATCCACATCATCTTCTTTTTTTAATGTTTTTTTTTACAAAAACTCTTTATTTAAAGTAACTTATGAAGTTTCTCTAAATCTCATCGCACGTTCTACATTATCTTGAATAAATTTTACTGTAAGCAATTTTTTATTACAAAGTACTTTTCTAATAAATAAATATCCTGCCCTGCAATTTATTTTTAAAAACAAAAAATATATTTCTTGTTTTGAGAAATTAATTTCTTAAACTAAGCTAGATTTACGATTTTGCTGTGAGTTCTGATGAGTTGTTAGCAACTTTGAAAGATTTTAAAAGTTTTGGAATTTATTGTACACCAAAATTCTGAGGGAGTCTCAACCGTAGAAATTTTTTAAACTATGACTTAGAATATCAAAAATTACGTTTCTACATCTTTTCGGACCTCCCTTTGTTTTTGAATACAGAACTTCTTACCATTTTTATATTGTGATCTTGGTCAAAAGATGCGCACCAAGCACCTAAAAGGTTTTGCCATGACTTGAATTTCACCTCTGCAGCAGATTCAATGTACATCTACCAATAGTCTTGTTGATCTTAAAAGTGTAAGTTAAAAATAAAGTTTTAAAAGACATTGTTAAATACTTATTATATTTAACTTTGACAAGATAAAATCAAAGTGCTATTTCTATTGTTTTCATTTTTATTATATTTCTACTGATTTTAAGAAAAGTCAGTCATTAGAAAAAAAAATTGATTTAGAGTTATTTTTTTTGTATTTTACATCTAATTTTAAGCCATTGTTTTTAAACAATTTGTTACTTTATGACATAAATTATCCTTAAATAATAAGACTAAAATATCAAAACTAATGAAAGTAAGTTTTACTTTAAAAATTGCAGAATCAAAAAAGTCGCAGGTCAAAAACCGCGATTCCCTGGAGAGAGAAATTTAGACAGCCATTCTATTGATCTCTGAGTATTTTAGTACTCAGAATAAAAACTTGCCTGATTTTAGAAAAATGTATCTTGAATTTCATGAAAGTCATAGCGTGTAAAACAGCTCCATTTTTGTTAATTTTTGAAAAAAATCAGACCTAATGGTCTGATTTTTTTCCACAAGTTCACAATAATCTCTGTTTTTCTTAAAAGTCTATATGTAAATAATTTTCAAATTAGAAACTTATTCATTTTGTTTTTGCAAAAAGATATTTTAAAGTGAAGCAGTTTTATCTTTACCTTACTATTTTTTCAACCTGGGTGAACTGTATAAGATAAAAAGCATTTAACAAATTTTTTTATTTTTTAACGATTTGGTGCATTTTTAAAATACCACCATTTAACAAAAAAATATTTATAAAAATGCGCACACTCGGTATAGATAAAAAACCTTCCATTACTTGTAATAACAATATTAAATTACTTAATGATTTGTAAAACTGTAAAACTATTCACACCTATTGCTTGAAAATGCCCGTAAAAACTCAAAAAATGTAAAAATGTTAAACTTTAAAAGAATGGCGTGAGTATAAATAGTCATCTAAAATAAAAAATAAATAAATTTCATAAAGAAAACAATACCTTGGGAATATTTTATGACACTCTGTGTATTAAAATTTGTTTATGAGGGTCGAAATGGGATCGGCTAATATATATATATATATATATATATATATATATATATATATATATATATATATATATATATATATATATATATATATATATATATATATATATATATATATATATATATATATACTATATATATATATATATATATATATATATATATATATATATATATATATATATATATATATATATATATATATATATATATATATATATATATACACTTGGAGGGGAGGAGGGGATCTGCAAATGGCGTATATGAGATGGGAGGGCAGTGGGTTAATTATAAAAAAAAGAAGACACTAAATTAAAAAATATATCATAAAATGTTAGATAAATAGGTTAAAAGCGTAGGTACTTTTAGGCAGGCGTAGGGTACTCAAAAAAGTGTTTGCAAAATAAGTGGGGGGGGGGTGGACAAAAAAAAAGTGTACGTACTTTATGGACAACCCCTTATTCTACCAATTATACCAAATATTGATTAATCTACCAATCCTTTATTGATAATGCAAATTTAGTTTAATTTTATTTGTAAACATACTTTTCTTTATATATTTTGTTTTGTTATTATGTATAAATAAATTGATTTCCAGTTAATACATGTGATGTATTTTTTATTCCTTTAAATGTACCTAAGTGCTTCGTGCTTAGTGCAGCTGGTCCACTGGAGCATAAAGGAGTATCATCCAAGTTTCATACAGTTATTTTGTAATTAAAGTCCCCAGCAAGATACATACCCTAAAACACCCTCTTTTTAGCTAAGTTTGAGGCAGCAACAATTGTTCATTTTTTGGCAACTTCATGTGTGTCATCTTGAATATCATTTAATTTGGATATCTCGCAATAAATACATGTTGCATCTGTAAGGGTTGCAAAAACATGTATGCATTTTGTGCATACATGTTTGTGCATACAGTTTTGTAAAGGTAAAGTTAAAGTTTTAAACCTAAAATTAAAACAGATTGTAAGCTTTGTTAGCAAGAACATAAAGTATTTTTTAATTTGACTCACATGACTGTTATTGAGTCAAATTTTTGATCTCAGTAGCAAGGTTGTTTGACAAAATTTGCTTTTAAAAAAGCTAAAAAAATTTTAAATGTAAATTATTGCATTTAAATAAAAAATATGCATAAAAAATTGGTTATTTTTGCAACATATGTTGAAAATTTACACCCATTCTCTAAAAATTAATACATTAAAACATTAAAAAGTTGGACATAAAAAGTTATATAAATTGGTTGGAGCAAGGGGCAGGTTACCAGTGGGCACCGGACCTAAAAAAGACGTCTTTTGAACATTTGCTGGGTTTAGTTTTAAGGCCACTACCAACCCTTGCCTTTTATTTTTAAACATCGATTAAAGCCACTACCAACCCTGGTGTCAACCTTTTTTTTGTTCCAAAAACATAAACAAAAATACAGAAAATAAATTAAACTTTTATTTTTTTGAAACTAAAATATTTGTTGTCAGAAATTTAAAAATTTAATTATAAAAATATAATTTGCAATTGTTTTTGTTTTTGATAACAATAGCAAACACACATTATTCTACATGTGTGGGCAGTTAAGAAAGCTTTTTTTCCCATTAATTCACCATCCAAACAAGAATTTTTTTTGGTTTTTAAATGTTAAGTATGTTCTTCTAGACTTAATCAGTTACAAAAAAAAAATTTGCGAAAAAACTAAATACCTTTTCAGTATAGTACATTATAGTAGCAAATACTATCATGGGAACACCCAGCGCAAATACAAGCAACATCAGAAGTTCCATACTTGCTTTTAATGTTTTGACTATTACTATGACACCTCTTAAATTTTTAAAATAACGTGGGAGCCGAAGAATACGAAGTAACCGCATTGGTAACAGCAAATCAACGTCTTTTTTTTTAATAATAATTTCCAAATAAAATGGTAAAATTGATACAATATCAAACCAGGTAAGATAGTCTTTGAAATGTTTAACTAATGAAGAACAACACATAGTACTTAAAAAGAAGTCCAATGAAAAGCAAACACAATAAAATATTTCAAATGAATAAAATAACTCTTCATGCTTTTTCAATGTTGGCTCGGTCGATAAGCAGAAAGTAGCAATAGAAAGCATCAATATTAAAATGTTCGCAAAAGAAATTATCTAAAAAATTAGGTTTTACATATAGATATATATTATATTATATTATATATGTTACATAGTATTAGTAAACGACCAGGGCCCCAGCTAAAAATGAAATTTTTTGCAAACCCGGCCCTAGCAAATTTGTAAGATTTAGCAGGGGTTGATAGCTGTGGCTGGAAATAATTTTATAATTCTATATATATAGTTATTTTATCATTACATTGACTACTTATTAAACTCTGGTATATATTTATACAGATACAGTAAAAGGATGCAACTTGTTGAATAAGAAGCCGAGCATGAATGAGTTTTGGTTTATTGTAATAGGTGATAGCTCTATGATATGTAATAGATATAGCTCAATGAATAATAGCTCAAACGAGCTATCATCTCAATTACAATAGAGCTGATAGCTCAAACAAAACATTTTATTTAGCGCCATGCTCTAATATTTTATTTGGCGCCCCTTGGGTATCTGCCGCCCGGGACAAACTGTCCCTTGCAACCCCCCTCTCGGCGGCACTGATAATGATGATAGCTATGATGATGATGATAATAGTAATGACAATTATGATGATGATGATCATGATCATGATAATGATGATCGTGATGATGATCATGATCATGATCGTGATGATGATCATGATGATGATCATTATGATGTTGATTATAATAATGTTTACAAATGCATATGTATACAAAATCAAACATAAATTTTGAACAAAAAGTAATTTTAATAAATAAAAGAATACTTTTTATAAAATAAAATGTACTTTAGGATGTATAAATGTTTATGCAGCCCTGGTCACAAACCCGGCCTTGGCTATATTTTATCAAACCGGCCCTGGCCCTGGTCAAATATCAACCCCGGTTGTTTACTACATAGTATTCAAACAACTAGGTGACATTAGAATTTTATTGTTTAAAAAAGTATTCACAAAAACACATGCTTACATATACTTATGTATAAACACAAACAAGTTCTTGGGAATTCAAGGCTAAAAATAATTCGAGCTAACAGTTAAGATCCATGATGATAAAGGACCAAACTTTCAAGTTCAATTTTAAAAGTTTAATATTTTGTATATAACAAAATATATCTTGCAACCTATTAAAGTAATAGTAAATAATAATAAGTAAAAACTAAAAGTAAATTAATGTTTTTTGCAAATATTTTTTCTTTGTAAATATTATTACCAACATAAATTATGCATTAATTATATATGTTATTTAGTAAAATTCAGTTTTACACACAATTTTGCGCCGTAACTCTGCATTTTACAGTCTACATTAAGTTGACTTAATTCTTGTCATTCACACAAACATTTTTTGTGTGAATAACAAAAATAAAGTAATACCTCAGTAATAATCTGATTTTCCATTTATGGATAAGGAGCAGGACATGTATCAAAGTGATTAAGACAGTGAAACAAGACTACTATAAAAAAGTTCTGAAAAATCAGTTGCTACTTGAAATAATAGATTGATCAAAAAATGCCAAGAAACTTACATTTATGCAAGATTGCCATATATCTTAGGGCTGGGGCTGGGCTATCACCATTATCAAGCGTTAGCTTTCCTTTTTTATGCTGTTATTCTAATTTAAACAATCAAGAGCATTTTCTTTCCTTAACTAAAGCTCTAATTAGGTTTTCTTATTTCTATCACTACCATTTTCTACAAAAGCTGCTACCTCACTACATGTTGATACTTAAATCACTTTAATCTTCTCTAACAAGCATTGTTCGATACAACATTTTTTTCTAATCTATGATTATGTCTCATATTCTTGCGTTGTTAGAGCCACACCACACATCTATCTGATCATCTTCTCTTATGGCTAATACTATAACATATAATATACATATATATATATATATATATATATATATATATATATATATATATATATATATATATATATATATATATATATATATATATATATATATATATATATATATATATACTAAAGCTTATTTAACCATGTAATAATATTGTATGTAATTAAGCTCTGTTATTCTTAGTTTACTAAATGTTGTATCTTATCTCAGATGTCAGATTCTAGAGACTTTTTGAAAGTCTTTAACAGTATCATTAACCGTCTAACATTTAATCTCTTATTTATAAGTCTGATCTTTTTAACTCTCCCTAGAATAGGACAGAGTTATTTGGAAAGAACTTATCCTCTAACTTGACTCTTGTATCTAATGGCCATATTCTTCCTGTCATACCAGTTAAACAGTTTAACCCATTGTTACACACCCAAATTACTATGGCTTCTAATGCTAAAGTTAATTCTTATTTAAATACTTCTACAGTTTGTGCTTCAGACAAGATTTTCATCATAGTCTTAAAAAAGTGTTCTCCAGAACTCTCTTCAATTTTTACTAAACTATTAAAAAGTGCTAAATGCCAATTTTTAAAAACTCTAGAAAACACTTTGACCTCCGTAACTATCCTACAATAAGTCTTCATTCTATTATTAGTTTCGTTATACAAAGTTTTTGAGGTTATTAAATATTTCTTTTTATATTCAGTATTAAAGTTATTTTTGAAGGTTTTTGAAGGAACTTATTCAGTTCAAGTAACTTTAAAGGTACCACATGATTCTATGGTTATATGCAAGGTTGCATTTCTTTCTTTATTCAATGTTTTCAATTTTCTTTCATTGTCAATGCTCAAAAGAGCTATCATCTCTATTGCAATGAACCAAAACTCATTCTTGCTTGGCTTCTCACTCAAAAAGTTACATTCTTTTTCTGCATCTGTTCCTTCATGCTATAAAAATTTTATTAACCCATTTTTTTTCTTTGCACATCAAAAAAACTTTACAGCTTTTACCTATCTTTATACTTTCCTTTTTTATACAATCTGTAACTTTTTAAGTCTTCAGTTAAGCATTTCCGAGCATTTAAACCATATCGTCTATTTTAAAGTAATTCATAACTTAATAATGGTTGGAACCTTTTTGAATGTAATAAAAGTTTTAAAATATATAAATATATGTGAGTAGTTAATAAATAGTAAATGTAAATAAAAAATTATAATATATAAAGTATTTTTTTTTTAACCATGGCTATCAAACCCTGCTAAATCGTATAATTTTGCTGAGACCAGGTGTGCAAAAAGTCTTATTTATAATCGGGACCGGGGCCTATGTCACTTAATAATTAGTATTAAAATAGTAGGGAAAAAAAAGAAAATTAGTTAAAAGATGATTTGATAAAAATAAAAAATTCAAAACCAAAATAAACACATTTTTCACATCTACAAATTTTTGCATATCTTTTATCTAATTTTTTAAACTAATGTCTTGAAACTGATATTTAATAATTAAAGCACTGGACTAAAGCTTTATATCAATAATAATTGATAATCAACAAATAGGGCCTTTAATAAACAAAACAAATCATAAAATGGAGTTCTTTCTCATTTTACCAAACTTTGTAATTTTTTATAAACCTTGTAACTTCACATATATATCTTTGGCCATTAATTAATTTATAAGTGCAAAATTGGTCATTTTGAGATAAGTATGCAGTTTTGTTATATTTTGTAAGATCTTTCATTTGGTCAAACTATGATTGCTGTAGTTTATACAGAAACATCTATAGCTGATTGGTCCATAATTTATTATTTATTATCACCCATAATTTATTTCTTATTATTACCCAATTTATAGCAACAAATCAAATTTTCAAACTCTTCTTCAGCAAAATGTCATACCTGCACTTATCATAAATTAACTAATGGCTACAAATATAATGTTGCTGTCAACATAGCATTCCAGTGGCAATTTATTGCTCAAAAATGACATATCTATAACATCAGTTTCATATAACTTCAACTTTGTCAGTCAAAATGAGCAAAATGGCTCTGGTCGATGTTTTTTTTGGCAAGTATCTAAAGCCATTTTGGTATCACTGATGACAGAATGGTACAGCATTATTTTGACATCACTTTTTATATTGAGTACTGATTTTAAACTTTTTTTCATTATTGTATCATAGAACTTGCCTTTAAAAACTGTAGGTTTTTTGTTGAATTTGTCTATTATCTTGCAATTTGGAAAAAACAGAATATTGTGGTATTTTTCAAGGAGAATAATTCTATTCAAAAATTAAAGATTTAGTTTTAGTTAATAACAATAATAATATTAATTAGTGATACTTATAATATTTATTATGATACTAGAGCATATTGTATATTATTATATTGTTTAGAGCATATTGTATATTATTATATACAATATGCTCTAAATTATACAGTTTATTAAATTAAGTTTAAGTTTAAAAATTAGTTTATACTATGAATATTTGTAGAGTTCAATTGAATACTTACATTTCTAATGTAACGTTTTTGTGATAAATTTAAAAGACTCCAAATTTTTTGAGAAAGTTTGTTCATAGGACCTCTTACATTCAAGTTCTTATCAGATTTTTCTTTTAATGAAGTAGTTTCTTCATCTTCATCTTGAAACATTGTTAAGTTTTTACTTACATCTCTGAACTCACTATATCTTGGCCAACAGCAAGGTTGCATCATAGACTCATCAACCCCCCAAAACTTAAGTTCCTTAAAAAGAAAAATTACTTTTAAATACATGAAAACATTATAAAATATAAAAATATATATTCTAAAATTAGTATAATGCCTAAAACTACTACAACATGATTTTATAATAAAAAAGATATACTTTATGTCATAAAGCATATCTTTTTTGTTATTTTACTCATAAATTATGAGTAAAAAACAGTTACATATTTTTTTATCAAGATAATTCACCTCTTCTAAAGGTGACTAGTAAAACTAGTAATTGCAAAGCCATGAATTGTTGCAGTTAATGTTAAAAGCTAGAGGCTCTAGCTTTTAGTATTTAACAATTCTTGGCATTACATTTACTAGTTTTGATAAAAAATTTAATTACTATTTACATAAATGTTTAGAATCGTTACTTTGTTGCATTACAGATCTTGAGCTGGTAAGTTAATTCTAGGTAGGAGCTAATTGGCGAACAAAATCTTTATGATAAACTTAAAACATTCTATTTAATGAAGTATTTTAAGCTCATCGTAAAAATCTTGTTCAATCAGTTCCGAAGTGGAATAAACTTATCAGCTCGATATCTGTAATGCAACAAACTTTACAGAGCTTCACAATAAAGCAACATAAAAGTTATTCTTTTGTGGTTTGACAATCTTTCTCATTCAAAATGCTTTTTCGATTGATTAAATAAACCATAATAAAGTATCTTTTCAATCGAAACCATATTAAACCATAATAATTTACTATGATTTATTAAATAAACCATTTGATCAAAAATTAACTTTAAATGAGAATGATTTTCTAACCATAACAGACAACATTTTTTACAGTTTTCGAAAAAATTAACTGAAACATTGTGGTTAGAAATCCAAACGAGATAGGTGCAGTCTTGTGACCATCTTATTTGTTGAGCAAAATAAAAGACTTCAGGTCTAAGTTATGTAAGGTTATCAATTCGGAGGCTTATTTCTCTTGAAAACAGTTTTTATATATATTTTAATATCCTTATGTATCAATGCCTCTTAGTACGCACAAGACGTATTTTAGACGTTTAAATTACGTTTTGTGTCATCTTTTTAACATTTTTGTTTAAACATTTGTTTAAGATGTTAAATGTTTTAAAATTAATTAAACTAGTTACTAACTTAATTAATTAATAAAAAAATTAACAAAACATTCTAGAAAGTGATTACCTTTTGATTTTATACGTTTTGTGCCTAGTGGACACATAGCGTATCTTAAAAGTAAACTTTTAGAATACTTGACGCCAGAGCCGCCAAGAGAGAGTGTGTAAAAAGAGGCGTGCCCCGGGCACCAAGATACTAAGGGCGCCAGAAGACAAAAGCCAAAAAAACAAAAACATAATGAGATTTTAATAGCAAAAAAGTAAAAAATATGTTTTTATTGGCGAGGTATAAAATAAATTTACTTGATAATGTGCATAGCAACTAACTTGCTTTGTTCATATTACCAAAAAAATTATAGTTTGTTTGAAGTTTGTTTAAGACCAAGTTAAAAACGTTGGTGCGTTTACGCTTTTCCATCAAAAAGCATATAATTTAAAAATGACCAGAACGTCAACAATTTTTAAACTTCCGTATTGCCGTATATTCCGTTAACCGTTGGAATAAACTAAAAAAAAACAAACTTTAGAGATAGCTTCATAAAAAAGTATTTTTATGAGCCTGCTTCTTCGACAGCAATCTCCCCCGTCACCATATGAATCTTTCCTCCATCAATATTAACTTTTTTTATGTATAAGTTTCATTGATTATTACAATAAAATCTAAGACCTATTTGTTTTCATCTGCATTCCCGCTAGATGAAAGATCCTGCTTTAAAAGCTTTCGGACACTAGACGTTCAGCTCAGATTGCCGCTATGAAACTAGTTGCAAAAATAAGCGCGGAAAATCACTGCTGCTAATCGATAATCGATAATCGATAATCGATAATCGCACGGATTATCTCTCTATAATCGTTGCTTTAGCTTCAACCAAAATATCGACCCATGATGAGTTATCTGACTCTTTGTCAGATAAGTGAATGTTGAAAACAAATGAACCTGGTTATGCAGTTTTTCCATAACATAAGCTGGAAGTGAATATTGTTAAAGTTGCATTTTGTCATGTCATTTAACAAATTCAATTTAAAATTTGGATTGTAAATGCTGTTTTGTTAAGGTTCTCATTCATCTGGTTAAAAGATCAAGAACCGGTAAAAAGTATAGCTTGAAATAGAAGATAACCTAATAGATTTTTGAAATATAAAAGATTGAAGTAGTTTTAATTTTTTTACCTCTGGAAACACTTTAGACTTTTTCAACCAAATATTCTCAAAAGGTATAACAGCGTTTTTTTCAATCTATATGCATTCTAATTTGATTTTTTTAACGTAATATCTGTACTGTTGCAGAAGGTAAAAGACCAATTAGGTAAACTAAAATTAAAAAAATGATTGTAGGGCTATTATAAAACAAATGATTTTAGAACGTCTATGGAACATAAACGTTAAAAACGATTGGGATACAACTCTGTTGTAAGATGATATAATAATAATAATTTTTGATAGTTTAAAAGAAAAAAAAAACGCCCCTTAAAATATAAGTTTATTATTACAAAATATTGAGTTTATATTAAACGGGAATAGAAAATTAGGTAACAACGAACCTTTGTTTACATAGCTGCTTTACAAATTTACCCACAATTACGGCAGAAAACAAAACGACGTTTTGCTTTAAGAAAATATTTCTTTTAGTCATAATGTACATAGACAATTTTTAACATAGTTCGGTTTTTTAACATTTTTAACATAGTTCGGTTTTTTAACATTTTTAACATAGTTCGGTGTATTAAAACTACTGCGACTGTTCTTTGACAGACGTTCATAAAACTACAATGACAACAAAAAATTATAAAGTAACTGATTTCAACATTGTTGATCAATTTAGGTTTGTTTTTATGTGTTAAAAATGTTTTCGGCCCAAACCCGTACGGTACCCCCTCCCCAATTGAAACCAAGTCCCCCGTTGGGTGACATCACAAGTCCGTATGATTTTCTTAAAACGTCCAACGAACGTCCTGTATACGCTGGAAATGAAACTTCATAGAAAAATTTTATAGCAGAAAAGAATATTTATTTCTTAATGCTTGCTTTAAAGGTATATATGAATATATGTATATATATATATATATATATATATATATATATATATATATATATATATATATATATATATATATATATATATATATATATATATATATATATATATATATATATATATATATATATATATATATATATATATATATATATATATATATATATATATATATATATATATATATATATATATATATATATATATATATATATATATATATATATATATATATATATATGTACATATATACATATAAAGCAAGCATTAAGAAAGAAATATACTTTCCTGCTATAAAATTTTTCTATGAGGTTTCATTTCCAGCGGATACAGGACGTTTGTTGGACGTTTTAAGAACATCATACGGACTTGTAACGTCACTCAACTGGCGACTAGGTTTCAATTGGGGAAGGGTTGCCGTACGGGTTTGGGCCGAAAACATTTTTAAAAAATAAAAATAAACCTAAATTGATATATATATACATGGGCGTCCGCAAGATTTTTTTACTGGGGAAAAGATTTTAATTTTTCGGATAGCTGTCCAAGAAATTTTTATTAAACTTGCCCAATCCCCAATAATAAAAATTAAATCCTTGATAAATATTTAAGCCTTCAATTTTAATGGTATAATATTACATAAATATTGAATTAAATCATGGTTTTAACGAGTTTTAAGCACAATTCTATTAAGGTGGTTCACCACTAAAAAAAAAAAAATCCCCAAATTTTATAGCTTTTAATTAAAAAGTTTATAAGAGCATAATATAAGAAAACAAAAAACAACATAAGTGTTATTTTACAACAGTTTATTCCTAAAATTGCGAAAATATGTGCAAAATCAGTCAATTTTGAACAAAATTTTGAAAAACGATAACTTGAAAGTCATTAGAAAGTAGAGATCTTCATATTTTGCAAACAGTTTAATGCACATAAAATGAAGAGCCTGAAGTTGAAATTTTTGATTTGAAATGGAATAGAAAAATGTAAATAATTCATCAAATCCAATAATGTTTTCGGTGCAGGGCCTCCATGTAGAACATGTCATTAAAATTTGAAGCAAAAAGCTTTAGTCATTCAAAAGTTATAATATTTCAAAGATTAAAAATTGCAAAAAAAAGTGAATGAAGAAAAATAACAATAAACATTTTATAACTAATAAAAATATCAAAAAATTCCAGATGAGTAGGGTTTAAAAGTTTCCAGTTGTTATTTTTCATTATGCCAACCCTTGTTAATGGATTTTAAATGTATCCTTTTACATTTTTTTTTTAAAGTGTCTTTTTTATTAATGCTGGCAACGCGTTTTTGGTCCCTACAAAATGAGGACACTGCAGATTTTACACCATTCTCAAGATTGAGGTGACTCATCACTCTCTGAACATCAGCAGTTCCCTCATTAAAATACAATACAGCTGAGTTCACTCCCAACTCAAATGAAGCTTTATGAATAAAAATGTTTTCTGGGCATCTAGACCATATAATACCATTAAGACCCTTATTAGAATTCTGTGTTTGACTATGAGTGCATTTTTTCAAAAGGTTGACATTACTTAATTCTTCAAACTCTTTCTTAATGATATATATCCATTCTGGTAAATTAACTTTTGGTATGTAAATGCTGTTATCTAAAGAGATTCTTTTCTTCCATTTACACCAGTTATTAGGACCCACTGGACATAACACGTGGCGATGAAATTGATCAGGAATATTAGTGTAATGGTAAAGAACTGCGCGAATGTTTTTTTTTTTTCATTTGGTATACCTTTTCATTTTTACCTAAGGAATTATTAGCTGCAGCCTGTCTAATAGCAATTCCAAAATAGTTTTGTATTCTATTAACTGCGTATTCTATCAATTTTCCTTTTTTTTTTTTCCTCAATTTGATACTTTCCATTTGGATTACTACTAAAAACATCATTAAATGCAGAGAAATCTCCCAAATAATATTTATAAATCAAATCATTTTTTTCTACAGAACGATTAAATATCTTTACCACACCAGCACTTTCCATAGCCCCTGACGATGCCGTTTGATTTAAGGAGAAAATATGATTAGCCTTCAATTCAGCATAATCTGGATGATTTTGCTTTCTTTTCCACATTCTACATTCTGCATTTTTCCACATTGTAAAAACAATACAACTGTTACATTCGGGGCAACTGCCAATATTATAAATAACTTTTTTTAAAATAGAGAAATTTATTATAAGGTTAGACTTTGCTGGCACTGTCTGAAACATGCTCAACATTTTCATCTTCTATTAGGGTAGGTATTTTGTCCCACTGGTTGCCTTAAAATGCTTTTTTTAAACTTTTTTTTTTGCTTCCCATTATATATAATATCCTAACATTTTAAAATATATAAAATGAAACTGATAAGTTATACTAAATAATAAGAAAAATACATAGCTTTTCAAACACAACAATAAATTATCATAAGATGGCATTAGATAAACCATAAAAAAATAGCAACTTTCATAGACTGTTATATTCTAAACTCTTGTCAAACCATGTTGGCCTACTAAACTAATGTGTAACTAACCATACTTGATAAAAAAAACTTAAATCAAGGCAAAGAGAGAGGGCAATTACAAACATAAGTTTATGTTGCTAGGGGTCGTTGCTATGGTAAAGTTGTCTGATAAGGTCTAAATAAAGTGAAATACCTCAAAATATACTCGAGATATATGAAAACAGAGTCCAGAAACATTTTCAGCAATGTTGAATTACTATAAAACAAAAGTAATTTCATAAACCAATTTTTGATAAAAATTTAGTTTTTTTTAGTGGTGAAACACCTTAAAACAGTGAAAAGCGGCGGTCGAGTTTTAGAATTGCAAATATTATAACTATTACTCTTTTAAAGAAAGTGCAGTTGGCGGAAATCCCTTCCAAAGGAATAAATGACTTTCTGCTTAAATTCAGTCATTATTGCTGTTCACACATGACGATAAATGCTAAACTAACACTTCCCAGAAAGACGTTTGTTAGTTGCGGTTGAGCGAAGCCAAGATTTTACACGTTACAGATGACTAAAGAAACACTCTACTGTGCATGATTTTAACCGTAGAGTCAGTACTATTTGTAGAATATGATAAACAGCTACAAAAAAAAAAGTGCTTTCTAACGAATCAATAAGTTGCATATCTTTTATGATTTCTTAAGATTGTTAATGTGTGCTCCTAAAATCAAACCAATTCATAGCCTTGAGTTTAAAAGTGTAAAAAATCCCAATTGTTCGTTGCGTTGTAAAACTGTCGTTTGTTACCAAGTTTTGCAATTGCAAGTTTTCTATAAATTTTTGCTGAAAACAAGTATGTTTTTATACTTTGCAGACTATTGAGTTTCACACAACAATGACACATTAAGTAATAATGACCTCCGCTCTTTTTTTTTTAATAAAATATGATTGTTTTATTTGCACTAATCGCATTGTGCGCTTGCACAACTGATTTAAGCTCATTAACGAATAGATTGAGACAATGCCCAGAGAAATAAAAAAAATGCTGCGTTTGGAAAATATAATTTTCTAACAAGTGAAATCTTAGATATTTTTCTCAAACTTTAAATTTACCATCAGAATATTCTACAAAACCGCCAAAGATAATTGTTTTTCTTTAGATTTAGGCTTTGTTGACTATTAAGTATAGCAAACCTAAAGATTTATTTAACAGTTCAACAATGTTTGTCTATTTCAGCACCTTAAAAATCTCTATTAGCACGTTTTGGGTTTTAATTGACGTGTAACGTGTGTCTGTTTCAGCATCTTGAAAATCTCTATTAGCTCGTTTTGGGTTTTAATTATCGTGTAACGTCAATTAAAACCCCCCAAAAAAACAGTTAAAAATGATGTAAGATTATGCTGCGCATCTTTGTGCAACATATTTGGTAAAAGATTTCTAGCGTTTAGTAGAAAACAATTGTACTTGGTTAATGTTGATGTATTGAATGCACTCTAGGATGTACGATGAACCGGCTGCAGGAAAACAATGCAAAATACCCATACTGAACACTTCAAAAGACTCTTCAATAGACAACCCACGAGGAAAGTTGTTTAAGGCATGCATTTCAAAAGTAGCTTTTCTTGCCTTGTTTATCTTTGCGTACATTTTAACTAGCTAATAGCAGGAAAGGGTTTTTAAATGGCTGAGAAGCAGAAATGCTTGAAATCATCAGTAAATTGATTCGATGTATCAACCAACGTCAAACTTATCAATACTACAGTCATAGTCATTTAGTTTCAATGTTTTGCTGTTTGCTGCTAAGAATAGAGATATGAATTAATGACAGGTTTGATCTGTTTTGATAGTAAAAGCAGCATGAAGTTTCTGTGACTGTAAGATAATTATGCCACTACTAATAATACTAGTAGTATTTAGTTCTTGAACTAGAACTGTATTCGTAGTACATTTTAAATGGGCAACCTCACGTTTTCATCAGATGACTTTTTATTGACTTAGTAGAATTTACTCACATTACCTATAAACTAATTGACATTTCCTGCATTATATTTTAAAATCCATATCGTATATATAAATGCATATTATTATCTATTTATGTATACGCTATCTAAGATATGTAACATATTATTATGTATTATAAAACAGTATTTATTTTGTATTTGTAATATTGTTACATATACATACATATATATATTAAAATATTACTTATAACTAAATGTTAAAAATACATATAAACAAATATAAATACATATTGTATACTAATAGTCGTAAACGTTTGGAAGATTAAAAAAATCTCTTTCGAGAAGCCATTTTGAAATTTTAAACGACTTAAAATTAAAATTTTATGATAACAACATTCAACAAGCTTTTATATAAAATCTTTTTCTGATTGGTTAACCATTGCGTAATAGTTTCCACACAAAGAAATATTAAATGTTATATTCGTTAAATATAACAGGAAACAGTAACAAGAAATATTGAGAAAGAAACACTAATAAACAAAATCCTCAGCCACTGTTTGTAAAGATTTTAGTATTCCGGTGTGTAGGCAGTTATTGCAACTAGCCATATTTGCAATTTTTTATTTATTTAGAAAACCCAGGGCGGGTCAAATAATCCTTTTTGATATTTGCTGCAGCCGCCATTGTATATATATAAATATATATATATATATATATATATATATATATATATATATATATATATATATATATATATATATATATATATATATATATATATATATATATATATATATATATATATATATATATTTATATATATACAATATTTATATATATACAATGTATCAAATACAATAATAATAATAGCAGTTAATATAAAGTATACCTCCTGAAATAATGGACCACAAACGTCGTTTGGACAATGGAGTCTACCTGTTCGGCAATAGTTTAAAATATTTTCAAAACATCTTGGATGCCTATCAAAGTAAAATTCGCAAGAATCTGTATTTATACTTCCCATGGCCAAAGCGGTCTCAGCTATCCAAAACAATCTCGTATCAGGAAAATTTAAAATCGTACTGATGTAACACTCGTGTCTTGATCCTCCAACAATAATGACAACTCGGTCAATACTTTTCGGAAGACATTGAGGTTTTATATGGTCCTCTTGATTTGCCATTTAAAAATTCTTTCTTCTGAAAAAATAGTTTTGATCTTTTAGATTCAAGTTTTATCATAATTAATTTGTTTATAATTAAAGTTTTATTTTATTAATAGTTTAGTTAATATTTATTTCTGAAAAATAATTGCTATTGATACAATCCATTGTATTTTCAAGTATATAATAAATAGGTTATTACACAGATTACTTTTAAACTTATTAGTTGCTAAAAAAAAAATCTAGTTCGAGGAAATAAAGAAATAACTTGATATTCTATCTATAAAAGAAAGGGTTGAAATTATAAAAGGACCGTGTTGTCTTCATTAATGTAACAGTAGAGACTGTAATAAATATTTTACCGTGTTGTCTTCATTAACAGTAGACTGTAATAAATCCCAAAAAAATATTTTTAATGTTGCTATTTCGTTAATGGTTTGTGTGTGTTTGTTTGTCTCCAGAGGTTCTTAGGATTGTATCACAAAGCATTTACCTAGAAAATTCTGGAAACGGTGTTGAACCAGAGCTGTGGAGTCGGGGTCAGAGTCGGAGTCCTTAAGCAAAATTGCGACTCCGACTCCAATAGTAAAACTTCTAGGTATTACTCGTCATGAACAAATAATTTAACCTTCAAAGAATTTTTCATATATTTGGCAAAAAAAAAATTTATTATTGCCTAATATTTTTTATATAATTTAAAGAATTTTTCAAAAATTTTGCTTTGGAGTCGGAGATGGAGTCGTAGCCGGAGTCGTACTCAGAGTAGGTACTTTTTATTTTACGACTGCACATCCCTGTGTTAAACCACGGATTTTTTGGTTATAAGCCAAAACTCCAACCACTGCCCCATAACTACACAATGATTCAATAAATGAAAAAGTGTTCTTAAAATCCTATTAAAAAAGCAAATTAACTAAAGTAAAAATTATTGATATGGAATAGTCAAAGCATATAACTATTTAACGTTGTCCACTCAAAAAGTTTGCAGTTGAAAAAGACTTTGTATGGTCTTGTATGACTACACCATTTTTTCGTGTACAACCGTAACGAAGATCATCATAATAAGACCTTGTTGTGGTAATCTCCAATGATATTTAGGTAAGAGCAAAAGTAAACTCAGCCGAATTAATAGCAAATAGAATGCTAGCGCGACTCAAAAAGAAAATTTTGATGCCACAGTTTTTTGTTATGGCGCACACTATATCTCATTTACAAATGCTTTAGCCTGGTGTTTGCTGTACAAGTCTGGTCCTAACACTTAAAGTCCAACATCACCATCCTTGAGCAAGTTAAAAATTGAGTAAAAAAAATACTTACGACACTGAAACACCTGTCTTATGAAGATCAACTTAAACAACTTTGCTTAAAAATACTTAAAAAACACTTAAAAGAGGCGATCTAATCAAACAATTTAAAATCAAGAACTTGTCAACTTCTTCGTCCCGCAAAAATATTCAAATAGAAAATTCAAAAATATCCTGAATGGACCTAATATAAACTAGAACGCCAACAAATAAGCAATTGTGAAGAGTAACAACTTCTTTCCAAACGAGTTTTCGCCCTATGAAATGCGCTTTCGCAAGGAACAGTGAATGTTTCATCGAAAAACAATTTCAAAGACAGCTTCAGAAAAAAACTTTTGCCAACACAATTTCTTCTTCGTTTTCTATCATACGTCAGTATGTCAGAAGACGAAGAAGAAATTGTGTCGATCTATTTGAGTACACTACGTTATTTCATACGTTAGTATGAAAGCACGTAGTGTAACACCTCTTCATCAAAGTTTAAATGATTAAAAAAAATTTAAACAATTTTATAATACTACTGAAAAACCTCATTATTTTCAAAACAACATTGTTCCATAGTTATATTTTTTGGTCAAAATAATTGAATTTTGTTTAGGATATATATATATATATATATATATATATATATATATATATATATATATATATATATATATATATATATATATATATATATATATATATATATATATATACATGCTTCCGTTAAATTCCCGTTTATAAGTATTTACTCATGCTGTCAAAGCGTCAAGATATATTAAAAGTTGTTCACAGTCATATTGCTTTTTAATAATAAATATTAATTTACTACCGTCAGCAAATAATTTGAGATAACACCTTACAACGCTAGGCGTGTTGTTTATAAATACTAGATAAAGTAATGGACTGAGAACGGATTCCTGCAGCACCTCACTTTAAACTTTTAGTCATTGGTAGTAAGAACCGTAAACCAAAAATTCTTTGCTTTTTGTACAAAAAAAAAAATTGATTAAAAATTGATAAAAAAAAAATGATTGTATCAAGTTCGATAGTAATCCGTTAAAACTAAAGGCTTTTAATTTGATAATCATTGTTTTGTGACAGATTTTATCGAGGAATTTTCTAAAGTCTCAATAAACGCTAATTGCATAAAGTCTGCAGATGTTATGTATGTTTAAAATGATGATAATATTAGACTACAAATGGTCTATGCTAATCCTATTGCACAATCGTTAGGAACATATGGGCTCATATCATCTGTCCCAATTCCTTTGTGGTTCTTTAACTGTTTTAATTCAGTAAGTATAACCGCTTCATTAAGATCAATTTGATCAATCTTGCATATCTGGTTATATCTGAGAGAAAATCTAATATTGGTACTGCAATCAATTATGGAAATGGCGGATTTGAATTTTTGATTATTCATTCTCTTTTGGCAAATAGTTTTTTTTGTCCATGGTATTTACTCTCAGGTGGAATAAAAAACTTTGATTTTGTTTTCTGTTGATGCATTGGTATACTATAGTTTTTCACAACGCTTCTGGTAGTACTGCGCTCAACTTGTTTCCCCGTGCAGCGGCCTTACTTGTCAAGGTCTGATTGGAAATGTAAACTTGGTACTGCAATCAATTTTAGAAAATGCATATTCAAATTTTTAATAACTCATTTTTTTTAGGCAAATGGTTTTTGATGTCTATGCCATTTACTCTCAGGTGGAAATATTTTATTTTAATTTTTTTTTGGCTGTTGATGCATTGGTATACTATATTTTAATTTTCACCACGTCCCTGGTATTACCAAGCTCGAGCTGTTTCTCCGCGCAGCGGCCTTGTTCGTTTAGGTTTGTGATTCTAAGAGTTGAGAGAGAGAGAGTTACAACCACAATTAAAGTAGTCTTTTCCTGTGCAGTGAGGAGTCAACTTTATTTTGCTTTCATGACTTTGGGAGATAAATTAACAATAAAAAAAAATTATGGAGTAGATTTTTCGAAAATGACACAAGTTTCGATTTATAACTTTTACCGCTAATTTTAATGTCTTCTTTTTTGTTAGAAGTTGGTGTATGTTGTGTAGCATTTTGTCACCGTGTCATTTTTTTTTGACATTGGCAATAATTTGATGTGGTTCTAGTCGGTAGACCTTGGCTAATCCTTCAACACAAAGAAAGATTAGCCAAAATCTTACCTACTAGAACCACATTTACTTTAGTATATTAGCTGTAGACCGTAAAAACAACTTCACGTTCATCAATTGCGTCGAAGTAAGATACTTTGATGACTTCTTAAATATAAAATGCTCAAGTATACAAATTCTTCTGGTGTTGCTAAAAAGTCTATAAGCAGGTAATTTCAAACTAGAGAATTTATTTAACTAGATTTCAGCAATTGCTATTTGCAGAGGCAAATATAATGTCTGTAATATATAACATAGTGATGATGCATTGGTGTAGAAGTAGGTGGTTGCACTTAGTTCTTGATTATTGTTACTTTTAATAGTTTGAATAGTTGTGTCTTATTTGATACTAAATTGATACTTGGACTAATAGCATGTACAACACATATTATGTTATTCTTTAATTGCTAACAATTCTGTATGCTGTTTTGTTGGGTTTTTTCTTGTTTTGGTTGTAACAATAATCGATGATTTTTTAGTATGAAGTATGTAGTGAAGTAGTATGAGCTTGAAATATCTGGTCAGATATCTTTTTGAGCAATCCATTTCTTACAACGTAAAAATATTTTTTTCCATTGTTTATTTCACAACGTCTACCCATGTTGTACTGGTGCTTAATGTCAGCATTTTACTTGTTCCTTATTTCTCTCTCCTTTATCTGCTGCTTACTAAACGCTAATTTTACAAGTATTTACATAAACGTATTTAAATTTTTCATTCTCTCTCAGTTTGCGTGCATTAACAAGTGCTAATTTGTCTGATTCTTTATCTCATAGTACGACTGTGATTATTTGTGTTGTGACAGTATCTCTTAAAAATGAAATAAAAGTTTAAAACGTTCAAAATTTTTCGTAAATTTTCTGTTAATACACCTTTTATAGTTTTCATATTTATATGCACTATATAACTTCTTTTTTTTTTTTTTTGTTTTTTAAGTGCCCCAAGAAGACCTAACGGTCTTGTCACAGAGCACCGCGGAAGTGCATTTAACCAGGAAGTTTCCTTACCGTGACGCGAAAATATATCCAGAGCTCGTTTCGAACCTTGATCTCCTGCTTATAAAGCAAGCGCTGTAACCACTACGCCGCGGCCGCACAATTCACACAATATAAATTGTACTTGGTAAACTATACTGCTATGGGTTATACGGTTTTTTGTGTTTGATATGATGGGATTTAAAATGCAAACAACAACATCAATTTATATTTTTAGTTGCTGCAAGAATGATTTTTTCAGTGATATTGCAAAGTAGCGCAAATTTAAAATAAATAGTATCATAAATCACAAAAGTAATACTTTATTTAGTGACAAAATAAAAGAACGTTATAATAGTTAAATAGTTAACAAAATTTCAGAACAGAACAAAAGCTTTTGTTCTGAATTGTACTGTAGAACAGAACACTACAGAACAAAAGCGTTTGTTCTGTAATGTTCTGTATAATTTCAATTTGCTGCGCCATGGCGCAGTTATGGCGCATCCATCGCAACAGCATCGCTAATAACGCACCGTTATATGTATTTTATATGAGTTTGTTAAAATGTCACTGTAAAGATGAAAATAATTTTTAATTGAACTTATATATTTTTTATATAACTTATATATTTAAAATAAGCTCTTTTAATAAAGGAATCAAAGTTTATTAATTTCGGAAACCGATGGCCTTAATTAGAATAATTTTGGCCAATAAGTAAATGCATTTGAAATTTTTTCATTAACTTTTTTAGGCAACTTTTTGAAACGAATAGTTTTATATTATAGTAACTTAATATTATCAATAAACTATTAATATTACCTGTTGAGACCGTAGAATTTGTTGCAACTTGCCCCAGTCTCCCCTATATTACTATTTCATATAAATATTAAAGCTAGTTTTCTATAGTATAGGTAATGAATTAAAAATGTTTTGTTTTTATTTATTTGATAAAACCAACGCATGCTCAAAATAAATTCAATCGCATTAGCGCATTATTCTCCTCAATCGTATAAATTAAAAAAAGGTCTCACCTTTTTTTTTCCCCAAATTACTTTTTGATTATACAGAAGGTTGACCAATCTATATTAATATTAGTATTTTCTATATTAATATTATAATACTCTTAATATTGCTATACAAAGATGATGCTATTACTTCATCTTAGTTCAAAACGTTTCTTAATAGCAAATTTATGTATTAATCTTATTTTAAACCATTTTTAAACTCATTTAAACCATATAATAAAACTTCCTTAGATAAGCTAGGAACAAAACATGAAGAAACTAACATAGAAGAACAATTGTCTTAATCTTACTGTTAAATCTTTTTAAATCTTGCTACATTCTTTCAATTGTCTCCAGGCGAAATTTACGAAAAAGCGTAGTCGCTCCTTTATTGTGATAGAGTTTTAAAAATTATTTTGCTTGTAAATTATGAACATTTATACATTATGAACATATTTTAAATAAATTATCATATTTATCATAAATTAAGAACAATCATTCCAGTTATTTTATCAGCTCATTAAGATATTTTCTCCTTTTAGTTGTTTCATGAATCGAAAAGTCATCGCAGATTTTTTTTAAAAAATTTTTAATCTATTCATCGCACACTTCCACGTCAAACTGTTATAATTAACCACATATCAAGTATAACTAAAATTAATTTTCATTACAGTTAAAGACATAAACTACATTTAACACATTCAATTTCAGGTAAATATAATGATTATTAATTTTATAGCTTGCTTTATGTTATTAAACTGACAAAGGTTAGTTATGCTCATAAACTCAATATAATTCCATGAGATTCTCAGAGATTATTCTCCGTTAAAATTGTTTTAAAATAGAAAAATCAAATAAAAATCAAAATAAAAATTTAATCTTTATAGTGAGGATTTAAACAATTCATTCAAAAGACACGTAGGATTAAAGAAACAAGGAGCCGAGAAAATGAAAATCTATAATTAATGAATTGTACAAAATCTTCAACATTATCCCCCTCTTTTAGTTTATTAATTAAAAACCACTAAATAAAGTTTTACTTTTGAGCTTTTTAATTGAATTTTTTTTTTTTAAATTGAGGATGAACTATTACTTCGACCCTTCGATTTTATCACTAATTGAGTAAGAAAAACTTTCTAGTTCCCATCAAGAAAACATTTGACTATTTTGTTACAACACTACAAAAAATCTTGCAGCAACGTTTATGATAAGTTTATGTTATTACTTGCATTTTAAATCCCATCGCATTAGCTAAGAAAAACCGTATAATCCGCAGAAGTATACATTACCCGATGCTATCAATACAGTGTGAATAAATAGGCTTAAAAAAGTAATGAAAAAAAACCTTTAAATTGCATTAAATTAATTAAATGTGCATTTATTTTAATAAGTTTCAAAAACTCTCACAATGTAGAAGATAAAACGTTTTACTAGAAAAATGCAAATTATAGCCTTGAAACGTTTTATTTTTAATTAATGAAAGTCTTTCAATTAAGAATACTGTTTGTATGAATAGTAAGAAATTTGGAACCGAAGTTTTATCTTATTTTAATGGTTTTTTTTTAGATTTAAGAAAAGCTGCTGAAACTTATTTGCTTTCGCTAGGCAAAAAATATATGGGTGAGATAAATGTGGTCGTGAGAGCAAATATGCGGGTGAGATAAGTGCGGCCGTGGCGCAGTGGTTAAAGCGCTTGCTTTATACGCAGGAGATCGAGGTTCGAAACGAGCTTAGGACATATTTCGTATCACGGTTAGGAAGGAAGCGTGAACTTCCTGGTTAAATGCACTTCCGCGGTGCTCTGCGATAAGACCGTTAGGACTTCTTGGGGCACCTAAATAACAAATAAATAAATAAAAAAATTGTCTGACTTCCTAAACTATGCACAAAAACAACAGACAAAATATCGTCTAAATAGGAAAGTAACAATCATGAAAAATTAAAATAAACTAAAGCTGAATAATAACTTCCCCTCATTACTTATATTTAAAGTTTGAAAATTATTTTAATATATGTTGTTATTATAATATTACTATATATTATTATATTATTATAGTTAATATTATTATATTTATATTAATATATTATTATAATTAATATAAGTTCGAAAATTAAACAAACTAAATACACAGCAAGTCTTACTTTTTATGTTTGTGAATGAACCTTAAAAGATATCCGGATTTATTTCAACTTTTTTTAAATAAAATTGCTTATAAGTACCCAACAATGTTTTTACAAAATAGCTTTGTTGTTCCAAAACTAAAGCTAAGTCTATACCAAATTTAGTTTGATAGACTTTTTTAACTATTTACCAAATTTAGTTTGATGGACATTTTCGTCTAAATACTTTTACAATTTTTTGGAAAACTGGTGTAAAATGTTTAACAAAGTTTACAATTTAAATTACCAGGTTACGCATCAATACGTCAACCACGTAAATCCTACACCGGTGAAGGTTTTAGCACATTTATTCACAGCTCTTGAAACTAGTGTTCAACGTATTGACCGCTGTGTTAACGTAAAGAGATAAGTAAGCTTTTATGCATAATTATGCATTGCCATAGTAAACTACAAAACTGAAAAATATTTATTGCACAATTTACTAAACTAAACAAAACACAGAAACATCTTTACGTAAAAGATGACCTAAATTCAAGCTTCGGTTTCCCCTCTTTTTTAAAAATGATCTACTTCAGATGCTAACAATTACAGACCTATCTCCCTCACATGTACGCTAGTACATGTCGTGTCATGGAAAGTATTGTTAATTCAAGTATTGCTGATTATTTTAGTAAAAATAATCTAATAACACTCAACCAACACAGCTTTTTATCCATAAGATCTACGTACACAAATCTTCTAGAGCCAACTAATGATCAAAATAAAGCTTTAGATAGCAATTTCATTACTGACGTGGTGTACGTTGATTTTCAAAAAGCATTTGACTCTGTACATCCACAAATTTTGAAAAAAACTTGCAATATACGGTATAATAAATAACTACCTTCATTGGATATCAGCATTTCTTTCCAACAGATATCAAAGGGTTTTGGTTGGAAATTCACTATCCAATCTGACCAGCATCCGTAGTGGATTTCCACGGGGTAGCGTTTTGGGTCCAACTTTATTTTTGTTATGTATTAATGATCAGCCCTCTATAGTAATATATCTTAATTGTTCTCTAATATCGTATGCTGATAAAATCAAGCTATATAGTTCATTTATGGATGCCGATTACAGTCACGATCTTGCTGTTGCCATTTATAAAGTTTATCTTTGGTCAAAAAAATGGCAGTTAAAAGTAATAATAAGTATTTTACTCATAGAATAGCACCTACTTCATATTGAAAAGATATAAATTACAATTATCAATTAGGAGATCATAATTTAACTTGGTCTACAAACCCAAAAGATATTGGTGTGACCATGGACTCTTACTTAAATTACAATAATCATATTTCAAATATTGTCCCACATCAAACATTTGAGGATATTTATTTCTTTGGTTTATAAAAGACGCGATCCATGCGTTATTGTAAAAGCCTACACTACCTACATAAGACCGATCTTAGAATATTGCTCTTCGGTTTGGTCGCCAAACCGGAAAAAAATGAACAAAGCAGTGTAAAGAGTGCAAAGACGTTTTACCAAGAGAATTGCTAACCTAAATAATTTTTCATATTTTAATAGACTTAGAATTCTTGGTTTGGAACTACTAGAAATTCGTCGCCTTAAGCAAGACATGGTTACATATTACAAATTCTGAACAATTTAGTTTGCCGAAATAAATCAAGTTTTTTTTTAATTAACAACTATATTTACAATCGAGGTCACAATTTCAAATTACGCAAACTTAAGTGTAAACTTGATGTCTGTAAATACTCTTTCTCACTCAAGATTGTTAATTTTTGGAATAACTTGCCGTCTGACGTTGTTAATGCAAAAAATATCAACAGCTTCAATATTAAAATTAATTTTATCGACTTTGAAAAATACTGTTCCAGCTAACTGGTTTTTGTTTTATAACTGTGGTCTTATATACAATATGTGGTATTATATATATTATATATTTTGTAAATTATCTAGCATATGTATTATGTGATTGTAAGGGTATAAATATATTGTATATATTATATATTTTGTAAATTATCTAGCATATGTATTATGTATGTATTATGTATTATGATTGTAAATATATGTATTATGATTGTAAATTATTGCTTATGCAAAAAATTGCTTATGTAATTTATTGCATAAGCAATTTTTGCGATTTGTCGGGTAAAAATAATGACTTTTCTTGATAGCCTTACTGGAAGCTATCTTGGCATACCAGTATCCTTTGCTTCATCCGATAGAATGCTTTATTTGGGTTGCTAGTTACTGTTTGGCGGTAAAATCTAAATGGCGGCGGTAACATTTGAATACATCCTGGGAATTAATAGATGAAATCAATTTTGAAATTGATATGAGTACATTCTACATCCGTTAGGAATTCTGCATCTAGTCACAGACTAGGATACTGGTATGCCAAGGATACTGGTATGCCAAGATTCTACTAAGTAAACTACTAACTAAAGGTAAGCATCAAATTAATCTAAAGTTAGACATGGTGTAAATTAAGAAGTGTTATTGCTACTATTGATTAATCTAACTTGATGCGATATCTATAGATCTAGCAGGATGGGCTAAGTGCAATAGACGCTCAAGGAAGACAGACAAAAAAATTTTGAGTATTTTACTTTTGTCGCTTTTTGGATTTCTTTTTCACCGGATTTTTTTATTGTTTTTAACAATATTTTTGCAGGACTTTTTCACGCTGGAATAACTTTTTTTTCATCAAAAAATCTTTTTTAACGGTAATTATATTTCACTTCGCAGAAATTTTTTTTATTTTTGTCAGAAAAATTTTTACAAAAACATTACAGTACGGAATTTCTTTTAGAGTCGGCATAATTTTCCATCGTTTTTGTTTTTTTTTCGTTTGATAACTCTTTTCCTTACAGCGATTTTAACAAAAAATCTCTCTAGGCGACCGCACGTGTTTTTGATTAAAATTCGACTTTACACCTGGTTTTACAGCATTGGAAACACTGCGAAGTCTTACTCAAGCAAAACCTGGCAGTGTTTCAAATGCTCTGAAACCAGGTGTTAAGCCGCCCGA